TCGCCGGGCATTTGGTCAATGACCCCCCTGATGACAGTCGTTGCATGTCGCCCTGGCCTTCAGCGCTTGCAGGTTCACCTTGCAATCACCAGGTCGTCGGTCAGCTTTCCACCAGGCTGTTGGTCGTTCAAACCCCCGCCCATTGCAAGTGTCGCTTTCCGACGCTGCTTTTTGCCGTTGCCGCCCTTGCCTTTGCCTTTTCTTCTGCCTTTGCCACCGAAGTAGTTCTCCGACATGCACTCATTCAAGAACACCATGGCCTCGGTCTCATCCATGACCGTCGGGATAGCCTCGTTCGCAAAGCACAAGTCCTCCTCGACAAAGCGCTCTTCCTCATAGTGCTGCTCATCTCCATCAAATTCCTGATCACCTCCGTCAACCACTCATTGATTGGTACTCCTTGAAGGGTGTCACCAAAGACCTTCGTGATGGCCGTTGGTGAGCACCTTGACGTTGACGCTGATGCTGGGTGATTTCCCTGCCTGACAGCTTGATGACTGCTCCGCCTCAATCATCCACAACTTCAACGGGGCCGGGTCCCACACAAGTAGTCCAAGTTTGACCTCGATGCTGTTGCCGAGAGGGCATTCTGCTGAGAAAAGAGCGGCGCCTGGGAGCTGGCGTCGAGCTCGCGAGGGAAGCGTCTTCCACAGCAGCAGGGGCTTGCGGGAAAGCCGCTAAAAAACCAGAACGCTTCATTTTGCGCAGAACAAGACAAATGCGCCGCAAAAATACGCGACAAATTCTCTGGCAACAACGCAGCTGCTGCACAGCTTGCCAAAAAACCTGCCCCTGCAAAACATAACGCGATTGTTTACGCAGAACAAGCAGGGACAAGCGAGCCGCTGCGCAAGCCCCCATCTACAACCAGAGCGGTGTGTCTTGGCGCCCTGCGACAGCACTGCTGCAGCAGCCCGCAGCAACAAAAACTCCGCAGTTGCTCTGGCAGGGCCCTGCAATTCGAAACACCGTTGCAAAGCGCCGTGCCAGGTGCAGCTGCTTCTGTCGCACAGGGTTACGCAGGTCACCGCTGCAGCGTTCCATCAGAGGTCGCCGCTGTTCTTCACAGGCTGTGGCTTCGGGTGCGTGGTGCGCCAAGTTAGCAAGAACTTGCAGGAGCAGATGGAGCGGCATTCTCGACCGGGACAGTCCATGTCGGAATGGGGTGACCGAGAGAAGAGGAGCTCTAGGAGGTCTACTACAAAAGCTGCGAGCTGTTCCAGCCATTGATCTTCAGACGATGACTAGCAGAAGTGGCTACAGCCCAAGAGAGAGAGAGCTTTGGAAGTGCAACGGGACACAAGTCTTTGAAGCAGAGCCTGGAGGCAGTCCCAAGACAGTTGCTGGAGGCAAAGCAACGTCTACGGCTACAACGACGTTTCTGGTGAAATACCGCCAGAAGAACATCAACCTCATGCACAACCAGCGCTACCAGTTCAAGAGGAATTGCCAGCGCCAGCAACACCGGCAACTGTTGCTCCGAGGACACCGGCGCCAAGGACTGGCCGCCAAGAACGCAGCACGGAAGTCGAAGCCGCGAGCAGAAGATTCAGCAAGATCAAGTCCATCTACGGCAGGTACTGGACATCGAATCTAGATGTGGTGAGATCGTGGCAGATGAAGATGTCAGAGGAATGAGCTCTACCGCAACCTACCGCCACATGTGGTCACTATCATGACCGAGCTCTACTACTTACCGACCAACGCCTGCAAATCCAGAATCTGGACAAGATGATGTGATCATCCAGGAGGACGCTTTGCCAGTGCAGAGGGGTGACAGGAGACTATTTCCGGTGGTTGCTGGACTGCGGGATGTGGGACTATTGCCCAATATCAATGCGGGCGATGCTTTCCTTGTCAAGGACATCATGTGAGAACACGTTTAACCTCACCAAGTAGTCGGGGCTTGTGAGCTCCAACGTGGTGTGTGTGGTGGAAGACGAAGAGGAAGTTGCTTGCGTCAAGGCAAAGCTACCACGCCGCATCATGCCAAGCAGGTACATACTAACCCGGAAGCAGCAGGAGGTGAGATAACCATGGAAGGCCAATCCTTCTCGGACACGGAACGCCGACGCCGCCAACCGCGTTGATCATGGCGCGGTGTATGGCCTATGCCCCGACAACGTGGTGAGAGAAGGCGCGTGCCTCTACTGAGCTTCGCAGGGTTCGTGCTGCTGGATGTGGACGACTTCGCGCAGGAGGTAATCAACGGCGCGAAGGACTCATGGAGGAGTTCAAGAAGATGTTGAAGTTCGGCAAGTGGCCAAACATATCTGGTGCAGCTTTTTACATTGGCAGAACGGTCCGCCAGTGTGACAAGACACATGAGATCAAGGTGACTATGAAGAGGTAAATCGAAAGAGGTGGATTCTCTCCTAACTCAGGAGGCTACATGGTGCAGGGGGCAGCTCTACATTGGGTTGGCGAAGAAGACCTGATGTGGGCGCTGCGTCATGGCATGGCCAAAGACGGGACCGACCGCACAAAACTTTCTCTATGTCAACAAGGCTATCGAGGAGGTCAAGGATACACCAGACGTGCGCATCAGGCTGCTTGCCCATCAAGCTTGACGACGGCGTGGGGGTGTGCGTCAGTGAGGCCAGCATGGCCAAGATGTGCAACCACAAGGGGCCAGTGCAAGCGCAACAACTCAGGAAAAGCTCGGCCGAGCTTAGGGTGGCTGATAGGGCGCGCAAAGTTTGGTCGACTGCAAGCTGCGCCCCTTCGAAGGGGAACCCCGTCAATCGTCGACTTGGTTGACCAGACTCGCACGGTCGCCCCGTCAGCAGTGCTACCCCAGTGCCCCGAGCGTACCCTCAGCATACGTGGGGGCCGTCGATGTACAAATGTCAGTAGAATTGCTCGAGGCTTCGTCCTTGCTTGTTCTGCGTCAATGTGTTTTTCACGGACAGGCCTTTGGCATGCTGTGTGCTGTTGCCGGCATTTTGCGGCGCAAGTGCCTAGGCGAATGATGATTGTTCGCGAACAAAAATATTGCATCATGTTTGTTGGATGGAGGCTTGGGCCTGCCTTATTTCCCGAGCCGCGGGAAGCCACACCCAACGCCCGTCTAAGTGCTCCCGCCGGCAGACAACACATTCTGGCTATTTGGGGTCTATGTTGGTATCACTCTTGTTCGTTTTGTTCGTTTTGTTTGTGTTGTTTTGTTTGTTTGCTTTTGTTTATTTGGTTGCTTGCGTTGCCGGTGACGTGGCAGTTGCTGCTGTTGTTGCTGTTGTTGCTGTTGTTGCTGCTGTTGCTGCTGGCGCTCATGTTCTATTGCTGTTGCGGGTTGCTTGTTGCTGGTTGCTGGTTGGTTGTTGCTGCAGCTGTTGCTGCTGTTGCTGAGGGAAGGCTCCGGCCAAGTGCTGCTCGACGTCGGAGGGCTCTGGTGTCATTGCAACTTTTCGGAGAACCCTCTCTAAGCGCCAGGCGGAGGTGGAGTACAAACCAATGAAGCTGGGTCCTTGGATTGTTGATGTTGACAAGGCACACGAGCAGGCGGGGTATGGCTAAGCGCTGGGCGTCGAACACAGAGGAGTTCGGCCAGCGGAAAGAGTCCTTCATGGCATGAAATAGCTTGAGGCTTGTGTGCGGCGGGAATTGCCGACCTCCACGTGTACACAATTCGCCGAAACGAGGGGCCCTCCAGATTTGTTTCCCCATCAGTTTGTTTTTTTTGATGACACCAAAGGTCAGCCCCTCAAACCTGACATGCCCACTGACAGCTGATTTGACATTTTACACGTGCTGCCTGGCCGCTTTCCTAGGCAGCCGCTTTGGTGGGGACAGGCAGCCCTTGCTCAAGAGATTGACCGGCCGACCTATGAGGCGGGGCATTTGCCCGGAGAAAGGACACTGCGACTTTGGGCCCAGCGTAGGCATATATAGTTCCTGCGTTGAGACGGACACATACATGATGACTCGAGAAAGCCGGAGAAGAAAGAGGAGAAGGAGCAGAAGGGGAAGAAGAAGGAAGGAATCAAACACCAGAAGCGACAAGATGAAGAAGAACCACAGCAACAACAACAACAACAACAACAACAACAACAACAACAACAACAACAACAACAACAACAACAACAACAACAACAACAACAACAACAACAACAACAACAACAAACAACAACAAACAACAACAACAACAACAACAACAACAACAACAACAACAACAACAACAACAACAACAACAACAACAACAACAACAACAACAACAACAACAACAACAACAACAACAACAACAACAACAACAACAACAACAACAACAACAACAACAACAACAACAACAACAACAACAACAACAACAACAACAACAACAACAACAACAACAACAACAACAACAACAACAACAACAACAACAACAACAACAACAACAACAACAACAACAACAACAACAACAACAACAACAACAAGAGGGAGGCAGAAGACAATGGCAGCAGCGTTGGCAGTAGCAACGAGACGAGGGACAACAGAACCAGCAACAGAACCAGCAAAGCGGCGGCAGCACCAAAACAACATTGTTTTAGTTCCTCGACGTGTGGCTGAGGATCTTGGCAGCCACTACCCGCGGATGACGACGACCCTGGCTGGAAAGGACGGGGTAGCAGCTGTTGGCATGGGCCTGAGCCACGGCTGTCCCAATTTTTTCTCGCCCTCGGGCTGCGTTTGGTATTTTGGCCATTCATGTTGAATCGAGAAGCGCTTCTCACATTTGCACCCCTGGCTTTGAACAGGTTCGGCATGTGATTGTGTGGCTCTATTTTGCAGCTCGCATGAGCACGCCATGCGACATGCAAAATTGGGAAGTCACTCAAGCGTGGTCTTAGGGGAGGTTTGTGTCTTTAATCAGCGCTTTCGAAGTGGCTTTCCACCCCACCAACGCCACAATCGCCTTCCACAGGCAACGCCCACGCAGGCTGCAGACATGTTCAACAACCTGAGAGGGCAAACGCAAACCACACTTTGGCAAACATGCATTTCTGCTGCCGCAGCATGCCGCCATGAGTGGCTGGGTGCTAAGCGCCTGCTTTGCTGCCCTTCTGTCATTTGCAGCTGGCACAGATTGCCTGAGTGAGACGGGAGTGTGCTACCAGGGGACAAATCTGGCCATTACTCTGGATGTGAACTCTGTGGCTGAGGGCTGCCAAGAGGTCGGCAATGCGGCAGCCTGCTGCGATTTGTGTGGTCAGTATTGGCCACAATGTCTGTCCTGGCAGTACATCATTGAGGGGAACAATGACAATGGCTATTCAGGAATGAGCTTTTATTGCTGCCTCAAAGGCAGCTTTCGACCAGATCCTCTGAGCGCTGCGTACTGCACCTCGGGGTATTTTAACCCACAGTGCACCCTGACTGCTGCTTGCAGCTTCGACGTTTCAGGCAGCGGCTTGGGCTATGACTCCTCCGTTATGGCCCTGGATGCCTCGAGCAGCTCCTGTGGCGCCGGCAGCGCAGAGGCCTGGGATGGACTCAGCAACCCCCACAACGCCACGTCCTTCACGGACGCCTTGGCCACCTTTGACCTTGGCACGGCCGCTGGGGGCACGGCTGGGGACTATCTTTTGTGCTACGGGGCGTCGGGTGCTTCGGCCAGCGTGGCGGACTACCCCACGCAGGTTGGCGTCTTCACCGTGAAGGGCCCTTCCTCCGGCCAGGACTTTTCCTGCACCCTGGGAGCGGATTGCTCGTTGACGCTTGCAGGCTACAGCCAGTCGGCCACCTCGGCCGCCTACAAGGCCCTGGTTGTGCCGGGCTCCACCTGCGGCACGGGCAACGCTGCTGCCGACTTCTCAGGGAGCTTTGAGAACCCCAGGATTGTTTGGGACAACGAAAACGACAATTACTACGAGATGAAGACTGGGGCGATGGGCGACACCACAGCAACATACTCGCTGTGCTGGGCAGCCAACCCCGCAACATTGGATGACTACGTCTTCCGCGTGGGCAGCTTCACAATGCAGGGCCCAACCTCTGGGATGTCGCATGTGTGCACATTGGGCCAAACTTGTGATGTTACCCTGCAAGGCACTGGCTTCACTGACGCCAATGGCTTGTTAGTTGCATTTGGAAGCTATGCTGTGGACACAGGCAGTGTTTGTGCGTTTTTGGTCGACGAGCTGGTGGCGTCTTTGGGTTCCAGCTTCAGCCACCCTGCGCTGCCGCAGGCCTCGCCCTACACTACCTTTTCCTTTGGGCGCGCGCTGAGCGCGCATAGCAACCAGCCAGGGAGTGGGTACCGCCTTTGCTGGTCTGCCACACCTTCGCAAGTGCCCCCAAGCAAGGTGAACTCCGACTACGCCATCGACTCTGGATTGTTTACAATGCATGGGCCCGTGCTGAGCGACCATCAGTGTATCCTCACCCTTCCCTGCACGCTCACCTTGACTGGCTCCGGCTTTGACCAGGGCGCCCACGGCCTGGTGCTGCTCGGGGAAGGTGCAACCTGCGGTGGTAGCTGGGGGACGATCAACGCCTCCGGCGCTGACTGGGGCAATCCCGCAACTGACAGCGGTGCCAGTGACGACACCTTTAGCTTTGGAACGCCCACTGAGGGAACGGCGAACAGCAACTACGTGATTTGTTGGGGCTTTCAGCCGGCCGGCGAGTCGGACTACAATGTCTACGTTGGCATCTTGGAGCTGGGAGGGCCGGATCTTATTCAGGGCTCCAGCTGTGTGAAGGGGGAGAACTGCGTGCTGGCGCTGACGGGCATTGCGTTCGCCAGCACCAACAAGCTTTTGGTCTTGGACGTGGGCAGCAGCTGTGGGGCTGGGGCCACGTCTGCCACCTTCAGCCCCATGGAAGTGGAGAAGCAGGTTCAGGATGGCACCTTCACAGAGTACCAGCTGGGCAGTCCCAACACCGGCACAGCGCAGAGTGGCTACACCCTCTGCTGGGCAGCGAGCCCTGCGAGCGTGGCAGATTTCGCGTTGACCCTGGGCGACTTCACGGTGACCGGTCCGAATGTGCAAGATGTGTCTTGCACCTTTGGGCTCTCATGTGTGCTGGAGCTGATCGGCCTTGAGCTGCAGAGCAGCAACAAGATGATCGTTCTGTCTGCGGGGTCCTGTGGAGATAATGGGCCCACGCTCGCCTCGGTCACAGGCATGCTGAATGCAATCAATGTAGATGCGCAGATGCCCTACAACACGTATGACCTTGGCACACCCTCGGCAGGTCAGCCGAGAACGGACTACCTGCTCTGCTGGTCAAGTGCCCCCGCTGACGGGGCAGGGGCTGCATTCTACAAGGTCCCAGTGGGATACTTGACGCTGAATGGCCCCGTGCAAGTCTCCCAGCATTGCATCATGGGCACGCAGTGCAGCATCACACTCACAGGTGTGGGCTTGGCGGCCTTCAATCAGATCCTTATCATTGATGCAGCCGGCTCCTGCGGGAGCACTACGCCGTCCACGGCGGTCTTCGATGGCTTGACCAACCCGGTGAGCCCCGACAGTGGCAACGTGGCCCTGTACAATTTGGGCATCGCCCGCACAACCTCAGATGGCCCTGGCAGTGGCTACATTGCGTGTTGGGGCCACAACGCCAGCTACGACTACTGGAACATCCAGCTGGGCACCTTCTCCATTGACGGCCCTGACCTGCAGACATCTCTGGTCTACTGCACCCTCGGCCTGCCCTGTAGCCTCACCTTGACCGGGGTGAACCTCGCAGCCACCAACAAGATCGTGGTCACCGCGCTGTCCGACACCTGCGGGCAGTCGGCCCTGAACCTGGCGGTCTTCGCGGGCGCGTCGAATCCCACCAACGCCACCGCAGACGGCACCTACGACACCTTCGAGCTGGGCACTCCCACGGGCGGGATGCCGGGGGACTACAAGGCAGGAAATGTGTGCTTCTCCGAAGGGAGAGGTGCTAATTCTCTCCCAAACAAGATGGGTGTTCTTTTTGCAGCCATCCAAATGTCACGTGCGACACTGGTTTCCTTGAAGCTTTTGTTCAAAGATAAGCGTCAAGGTTCCCTCAGTTGTTCTTCTTTTCGGCTTCTCCCATCCAGGAGGGAATGATTGCTCCATGGCTTTTTGGCTTCCTTTCAACCCCGTGCTATCGCAGAACCCTCCCCTCCCCAGTTTCGGCCATCAGGTCTGCTGGGGCTTCGACCCCTCGGCGGACGGGGACTTCCACGTGCCCGTGCTGACGCTGCGCATGGGCGGGCCCGTGGCCAGGAGCAGCGAATGCACCCTGAGCGAGCCCTGCAAGATCGAGGCGCCGCTCGGAGCTCGGAGCTCGGAGCTCGGAGCTCGGACCGAGACTTTTCTCGGCGACCAAAGGAACGGTGGCAGACACGAAGGGCCCGAAGGGCCTTGAAGCATCTTCCCCACGGAAGCTCTAGAGCAAGAGTTGACTTGTACTATGCTGATGGTGGTGTCCACCATGAAACCCGTAGATTTGTTCCTCAGGAATCCATGCTTCAAATATTGATGTTGATTGGTGGCAGTAGTGGCACCATGCCATAATGTTGCTCTGCCTCTCCCCTCAGGTGGAGGGCGTGCGCTTGGCACACACCAGCCGCCTGCTCTTCATCTCCACCAGCAGCAACTGCGGGGACACCTCCCCCACGGTGATCTCCTGGAGATTTGTGGGGTCCTTTTGCTTTCGAGCGTTTTTCGTTGTTTTTGCCTGTGTTTAACACGGTTCTGTTTTGCTTCTTTCTCCCCTTTGATGTACGTCCAAGTCGGGTGCCTTCTAAGAAAGGAGGTGGGGTGGTAATATGTCAGACCAGGAGCGGCATCAACAACCCCGCGGGCACGGACCTGCTGATCGCCCCGGCGGACCCTGGGTACGTCTACGCGGACGGGGACCGCTACGACGCGGGCCTCGGCTACGCAGGGGTGCCGGGGAGCTACAAGATCTGCTGGAGCTTCGACCCTCCCGGGGCGTACTCGGACTACAAGGTGTGGGGTTCGGCGTGGCAATCTTTCGGGTGCTTTGGTTCACTCAAGAAGGGTGCGGGAGCGCATGACTTTTGGGGCATCTCTTTTCTTCAGATTCTACCCGTTTGGCTGTAGTTCGTCTTGAGCGCGACAAGACCGGGCAGCGGCATTGGAGGGTCGTTTGTCTGGTCAGCACGCTCCATGTGTAACGGAGTTTCTGATTCAGAGAAAGGTGACCCTGGGAGACTTCGTGATGAACGGCCCGATTCAGAACATGGCGGTGTCCTGCACACTGGGCCAGGCCAGGGTGAAGTGGCAGTCGATTGCAATGCTGCAAAGCAGCTCTCATCCGCTGCGAGTTGTCCGAGAATGGAGTTTACAATTAGACTCCCGCTCCCCTTCATAATTGAGACCATGCTTTGATTTGGTTGTAGCGGGTGGGCTGAATGCTAGCCTTTTTCCTTTTGTCACCAGCCGCCGCCATGCAAACAGAAGCGTACCCCAAGCAGCGGGAAATCTTCCCTTTATCTAGGCACAGCTTTGCACAATCAGCCTTGGCAAACATCTCGATGGAGAGTTGGAGAGAAATCAGCCCTGGTCCCCATTTGGACATGCACCATTTCCGTTATCCGAATTTCTTGAAAGCGTCATCGCCTCGGTTCGCCTTTGCGTGAATTTGGCGCTTCGTTTTGGAGGCCTGTGTGGTGGAGCCCTCGGGCGTGGGCCTGAACGAGACCAACCAGGTGCAGCTCATCACCACTGGCACCTGCGGCTCTGCAGCGGTGGTCCAGGTGGGGGGGGGGGGGAAGTGGCTGCTTCGTTGTGCGCATGCCGCCTGCCTTTCTCATGATGCAAGACTGGCACAAAAGAAGAGACCTGCTTCAGAATTGAGCTGGCCAGGCAGAATGACTCAATTTCATCTTTGAGTTTAGGTCTTATGGCATCCGTCGGCTCGCTCCCAGTTTCAGTTTGGGGGTGCTCTCCGCCGTGTGCAGCACCAGGCCACCATCCAGGGCTTGGTGAACCCGGTGCTTGTGGCGGATGGGAAGTTCACGCTGGGCGGCGCGGTGCTGGGCGGCTCCTATGCCACCTGCCGGGTCCCCACGCCGGCGGAGGGGTGCATCGGGTCCCACTACCGGATGTGCTGGGCCCACGGGGTCTACCAGGCCTGGAAGTTGAGAGCAACTTGCCCCCCGCCCCTTGGACCCATTTGGACCCATATTGTCAGGGTGGCGCCAACTACGTGGTGGAGCTGGGCACCTTCAGCATGAACGGGCCGTTCGGGACCTACCGGGTGGACTGCACCATGGGCTCCATTTGCAGCTTCATCCTGTATGGGTCCATGTTGGCGCTCACCAACCGGGTGGTGATCCTGGATATGGCCAGCTCTTGCGGAGACGCCACTGTAGTGTCCGCCTTTGCGGGGCTGCTGAACCCGGCACCCTTTAGCCACTCTGCTCATGGGTAAATGCGCGTCCTTTGCCGCGTTTCCGACCCGAGGCGGTTTTGATTGCAGGAATCCTTGTTTTCTTGTGTAGAAGTACTTCTTTGCCTTCTTTCCCTACCAGGCTGTTGAAAATTGCTAAACTGGGGATTTCAGGCTGGGACCAACTAGCTTTTTTTGTTCTCCGCGAGCTTGCTTTGGTGCGGGTGATGTTAATGGTGTTTGGTTAGTCCGGTTGGCTGGTTGAGTTGGCGGTTGGTTGGGTTCTGTTTGGGTCCTGTTGGGTCAGGGTGGTTCGGTTAGACCATCCCTAGCTGAGGCCAGCTGGCCACGGATGGCTCCTCCGCCACCGCGCGGCTGGGCAAATCCCACGCCGGCAGGCCTGGGGCCTACAAGCTGTGCTGGGGCTACGAGCCTTCGACCCTTGCGGACTTCAAGGCTTTCTTTTTTTGGCTTTCGGTTGGTCCTTCGGTTGCGTTCTGTTGCAGCCGCTTGAGAGAACCCTTAACCAACCACCGCCGGCCGGGAGACCTGAGGGAGGACCCAAGGCACCCGAACGGAAATCCCGGCCATATAATAAAATTCCAAGTTGAGCACATGGGCTTGAGAAGCTTGCGCTGTGCAGAGTTTAGCCTGTCCAAAGTGCCGTTTGTTCCCACATTTGTATCTTTTGGGTCCCAGAAGGGTGCCGCAAGCCGAAAGTCATTAAGATTCCGGCCTGTCAACTGGCCCAAGGACCCAGTTTGACTCGCCAGGTGGATGTGGGCATCTTCTACTTCCACGATGTCCCTCAAGGCTGCGAGCCAGGAGTGTTCGCAGCTGTGTGTGCGACCCCACGTTGAGCCCAGCCTTGCAAAGCAAGGAAAGCAGGGTTGGATCCAGGTCGACCAAAGCCAAAGGCTCCTTGGGACTTCCATGTGCCAACCAGAAAGGGTCTTAGGAGCAACCCTCGGGCTCCGTGCAGCTGGCAAGGTTCCGAGCTGCGTCTCGTTAACGGACCGCCAACTTGGTGTGAATGGCTCGTGCATCTCGGGGTTTCGTGGGGGGGGTGGGCTAAGGATGCCTGATTTAAGTTCCGCTGCAAGACCGACTACTCAAACCAGAGTGCTTGCACCCGAGGTTCTTGAGAAGCAACCGCTAAGGCCTGCCGTTGGCAGGGTCACCGGCAATGGCCAATCTAAACGACTGGGAATCCGGAGGCTCAAGAGGACGAATGCCCTCTTTGACAGCACAGGCATGGCATGGAGCCAAGGACATGTTTACAGAATTCTTCTGCCTTGTACTTCTGGGGCCAGAAACGGCATTCTTGATCTATTTTAGGGGACCCGCGGCACTCCTAAGCACTGGCATAGAACACAAATGGCAATGGAGCGAGCAAGAGAGCAGCGAAAGAGAGAGAGAGAGAGAGACAGAGAGAGCGAGAGCAAGAAAGAAAGAAAGTAAGTAAGAAAGAAAGAAAGCAAGAAAAGAACAGAAAAGAAAAGAAAGAAAAGAAGATAAAAGAAAGAAAGAAAGAACGAAAGAAAGAAAGAAAGAAAGAAAAGACATAAAGAAATAAAGAACGGAACATAAAATTAACAAAACAGAAAAGAAAAAGAAACAAATAAAGACAAGACATAAAGAAAGAAAGAAAAAAAAGACAGACAGGAAAACAAAATAGAAGAACACAAAAAAAAGAAAGAACATAAAAGAAAAATAAAGAAATAAAGAAAGAAAAGAAGGAAGGAAGGAAGAAAGAAAGAAAGGAAGGAAGACAGAAATAAAGAAAGACGGAAGGAAGGAAGGAAGGAAGGAAAGAAGGAAGGAAGGAAGGAAGGAAGGAAGGAAGGAAGGAAGGAAGGAATGAAGAAAGACAGAAAGAACGAAAGAAAGAAAAGAAAGAAAGAAAGAAGGCAGGAAGGAAAGAAGGAAAGAAGGAAAGAAAGACGAGAGAGAGAGAGAGAGAGAACGCAACCACCAGTTGTTTAATCCCTAGCGCCCTGAGCGTGTCCCTTCCCTGGCAGAGGGGACAACACGCGCCTCCAAGCCGGAAGACCAAGAACAGCTAGTTGCCCTCAACGCGTCCCCGCCCCATAATTTTTGCTGCGGACGCTTCGCTCTCTGTGTGACCTGCCACATGGGCCGATGTCCGCCCCTGCACGGCTGTCGCTGCGCTCGGCCGCCGCCCTGCAGCGCAGCCGCCCAGTCGAGGCAGCACTGGAGCGAGTGGTGCAGCCCAGGCCGGGTGACCCGTGGCTTAGTGGCCGCTGTAAAGCAACGCAGGCCACAGGCGTCTATCGTGATTCGTCGCCTTGTATCTTGGAGCGCGCGACTGGGCCAAAATCATGAGCGCTTCATGAGCCAAGCAGTTGGCTCGGAGGCGCCTCTTCTTTGACACGGCACCGGGCCTGGGATCCCGGAGACGTACTGGCAGCCCCAGCGCAAGTGAAACGCTGAGCTGGAGCTAGACCTAACGAGTTTGGATTCGCATGGCCCAGGGGTTATGCTTTGGTAGGCTATGGCATGCTTGTTTTTGGTGGTGAGTGTCACCGGGGTCTCAAACTGATTTTGCAACCAGAGGCTGACTGGAAAAAGACTGAGACTGAGTGACTCCGGAGTGAATGCCGGCTGATTGCTCTGCAAATCTCCCCCCTTCCTATAAACACCGAGCTCCCCACTTGGTGACTCCTTTGCCCCTTGGCATCCCGAGCTTGCAACAAGTCGCCTTCAGGGCTTGGCCTTTGAGATGTCTGCGCTTTGGGTTCTGGCCAAGGTCTGGAGCCAACGCTGCTGCGGGAGTTGGAGGCAGGGCCGCGTCCCTCCAAGGCGTTTCGAGGGTTCCATTTGGCTGTGGGTCAAGAATAGGTGCCCAAAATGACTAAAACCTGCGGTCCCCTGGTGGTTTGATTTTGACCCACACCCACTGTTTTGCCATCTGCCCGGCCGCCTCAATGTGCCACTGGCCGCTTTGCCGTTCTTGTTTGCGCCCCACCGCCCCTTCTTGATTCTCAAGTGCTCCTGGGGAAAATCGGGGGAATGGCACTCTATCAAAGATGGTCAGAGAAGAAAAAGCAAAAAGCTCGATTCTTTGGCAATCCAAGCCAGATGACTTGGAAGTGCTTCGAGCTCCCCCCCCCCCGCCTCGAACCGTCAGCCCTCAGCTGAGGGCCTGGGCCTGAAGAACGGGCGCCTCAAAGGCGGCGCGGTCGCCTTCGATGCCCCGGAGGGGGACCTCTGGCGGGCGGCGCTCTGCAGCCGCGTGCTGCTGGGCGCACGCCTAGGCGCCCAGCGCGCGACTGGGGACTTGGGGACTTGGGGACTTGGGGACTTGGGCACCGGGGCACTGGAGCTCGTTTTCCTCGTGGCGTTTGTGGAGGCACACGGCTGGGATGTCCCAATAACGATCTGACAGAAGGCAGAAGCCTTGCCAAAAAGCAGCGCCTTAGAGGCTCAATGTTCTCGTTGACTGCATGGGCCTATGCAACACAGATGGATGTAGAGGGCAGCTGCCACAGGCCAAAGCTGAGGGCTGAACTGAGCCCGGTGGAAGTCAGATGCAACCAGAGGGTAGCACGTAGTTAGCCTCGGCTGAAAACCTTCAAGATGCGGATCGCCTAGGAATCGTATCCTGAGGGCAGGCGTGACAATGTTGCTACATCTTGAGAAGCAGAGATGCCACGCAGGCGTCGCTGAGCCCTTCCACGCGGGCTACGAGTCGACGTTGTCAAACTATGCTGGCTGCTTAGTGGGGAGGGCTCGGAGAAGCTGGGGCACCAGACAAGGGTACACGAAACTGGTCGTACTCCTGAACGAAAGGTAGGTCAAAGAAAGCCGACTTCGTCGAACCCGTAGAAACGTAAACTCGTAGCGTGTGGTGAATGAGCGGGGTTGGCACTGTGATCAAAAGCCCCCAGGAACTCCAACTGAAGCAACCACAAGCAAGTGAGGGTCCAAGCACATGGTTTGTGAACAGCCACGGTTGCTGACATGTTTTTGTTGTTTTCTTCTTGTGTTTTTCTCGAGATAGCCTCACTTGTTTTTGCCGTTTCTGGCGCTCAGGGCGCGGCCTCCCATTCAGCGGTTGCTTCCAATTTGGGCTCGGGAGCTTCGCCTTGCGGTTTTTCGTATTGAAGCTTTCTCCAATTTGGGTGTTGTGTCCAGGGTTTGCTATTCTTTCAGCGGAAGTGGGCTGGTCTGTGCAAACTGCTGGTGGGTGAAGGGGTCTTTTGGGCAGGGAACACTGTGAATGGGAATGTCTTCCTCTTGGAAAACGGCTAGTTGTTTGCTGCCCGCTGTCTCTGCCCACCTGAGATGTGCCCGAAGTTGCTTGGCACAGGTCGCTGGCATTGCTTGGCCCGACTACCTCTGGTTCAGACCAGAGGCAGTTGGCCCGCCGTTACCCGGCGAAGCTGGGCCCTTGTCAGATTTTGGATGGGGCGATGGGACAAATGGGGCGGATGCATCGGGACAATCATAGGCGCTTTTTTAAACTGATGCCGGCACCCTGAAAATCAGACATGCATCAGAAAGGGGAGAGGCCGCAGCCTGCAATAATGTGCTTTGCGCCGTTTCCAGCTCTTAGGGTTTGTGGCTGGTATGAGTTGGGGTTGCTCAGTTTTAGCATGAGCAAGTTCTTTGCTGAATTGGGAACCCTTTGGCCAAAGGAGAAGGCAACGAGCCATACGTGCCCCATGGACTCCTGCGGTTTCCACCAGAACTGAGTGCAGAGATGCGCTGGAGGCTCAAGGTGCAGTCCGAGAGGTCTCGGCTCTATCACTCGGAGGTGATCGAGCGGGGCGTGCTCAGCGGCGCCTTTGGATCAATTGATCCAAATGTTTTTTGTTTTTGTTTTTTTCCCCCTCCTCTCTTCGAGTAACAACTACCGCCCAAGCTAGCAGTGGCAACCAACCTTAATATGAGGCTCGGCTCAATTGATTAATTTCAACACGGGACACTACCCCTATTGAAAACAAGGTTCCCGCGAAAGGGCTCGAGGGTCCTGTGGAAACTGATTGATTGCTCCACGTGCCCGGCCACGTGGCTTCCGTGGCCTTCTAAACAGACAACGGCACGCTTTGGAAGATAATTGTCCATGATGCTTTTCGGGGACTATTGACCATTGGGTATGCCAGAGTTGTGCTATTCGTTTTGTGCAGCTCGCTGAAGGTATCGAGAAGCGGCGCAAGTTCTTCATGAGCTTGCAGCTTCAGAACAAGGAGGATGACAACTTCTACGGAAGAGAAGCAAAGGCAGCACGGCGGGCGTTCATCCATTTGAGCATTGAAGTTGGTCCAGTCGGAAATTCCATTTCGGCGCATCTCCTGTGTCGCGGCTAGTTTTGCAGCTGCGTTTGTTTGGATCTTCAACCCCCCGTGTGACCAAGCACGCCTCGGCATGCGCCAAGGCAAAGCCGCCCTTCCCCACAGTCCGGGTGGAGCTGCTGAGGCGTGGCAACGTGGCAATGTGGCCGTGGTTGTCAAAACCCATAGGATCCCATTTTGGGGTAGGTGCACCACCCATTTTAGAACCTATTTTAGTTGGGATGGGGATGTTCACTGGGGGTGCGATTTGGATTTGACCCATGGCCAAGACTCCTGGGCCGCAAGTGCAGGGTGCACCAGTGCGCCAGCCATCAGGAACGAGTGCCAGCTGAGCGTGGAGGCCACGCTTTGCCCGCAGCCCCGCGCCTACGAGCTGGCCTTGGACGAGGCGGAGGCGCAGGTGCCGGAGGCTGGGGCTGGCAGGGTGGCTTGCAAGTTGTGGATCCGTCGATTCGCAGGTGAAGCTGAGGGCAGAGGCTTGCCCTATGGCAGGTATGGGCCATATGGGCCCCTCTCATGGCAGTGTCGATGCCAAAGCCAGTGGGCGCAATGTTGTTTACCACGATTCGCTCGCTTATGGGCAGGAACCGATGTAGCCCCTTCTCAACGACCCCATGCAAGCCACAACCAGTGGTTTTAGCCATCCTCCAGATTCACTCATCCGCCCTTGCCTCATGCGGCGAAGCAGATCCCGTAGTGGCTAAGCAACTTACCTTCAAATGGATCCAAAAGAGGTCCCACATCCTTCCGGTGAAGCCTTTTTGCGTAGCCATCGCCATCGCTTGTCCAGGGTCGGGGCAGCGCCTGGCTGCTGAGCCCCCAGCACGCGGCGGCCTGCGCCAGGGACCCAAGAGGTCTGACCTTTGGGCAGCGAACTCCTGACCTGCGACGAAGGTCATTCGAGTCAGGGTGCCTGAACTCAGCGAATGAAGTTCATGCAACTCAGCGTTCCAGAAACGAAGCACGACTTGGACAGTTTGCCACGTGCTGTTTGGCTGCGATTTAGGAGGGCTGCACTTTGAATGCCCCCGTGAGTTTCGGTTCCTTTGGCTCATTGACTCATGCCCTGCCCCTCCCCGAAGCAGCACGCGCAACTTACAACTACCTCAAGACGGACTTCGGAGAGGCTGAATCGCACATCATTTCGGCAACTCCACCCTAAGACACGTGTATTTTGCAGGCTGGGTCCATCACACAAACCCATGCCGGGCCTCCAGGGCCATTTTAGCGTATAGCTCTAAGATGCAGCTTGTACACTTGCGTAATTGAGATCCACAGCTCAGAGTGCACGATCTGGCACCAAGACATGTAAGATGCTGACCCTTTCGGAACTGAGGCTGTGAGAGGCGCTCCATGTTTTGCATCTTGCGCTTGGGTGCTGGTATCGGCTCTGCGGTGCTTTCCTTTGACATGACCGAGGCCATCAAGACAAATTTCCTCGGACATCTCGAAGAATGTGCCCAAGCCGGGCCGCTAGCCTGATGAAATTGCTTCATATTCGCTTTTGTCTCATTTGTGGTGGCCCTTGTTTCACGTGGCTGAAGAGTTTGCCTCTTCTAATGCTGTAGTTTTTGAGTGGCACGCCGTATGCTTACATGCGCCGGTTCATGCACTAGATTGGGATGGGTATCCAAGCCGTTCCGACCACCAGTTGATCCGCCATGGTGCCATTCGGAACCAGCAACAACAAGAGTTAGCAGACAGTACGGGTGCATTGCAGTCCCTAGGCCGTTTCAATCTTCAGGGCATGGTGTCGCGAGTTGCCCAGGCACCAGCATCGACCGACGCCAAAAGCGCCCAAGACAATCCGTGTCCGCGCCCAACATATTGTCTCAGCGCCTTCCCCCAACTTTCAGTCTCGAGCCGCCAGGCCCACGGTTCTGACTCTCCCCCTCCCTCCTCTCCCTGTGCCTTGAGGCAGCGGCTGTGCGTGTGGGACCCCTTCTGCGGGAAGGGCACCATGCTGCTGGAGGTCTTGGGCATGGCGCTGGGAGTGCCCCCGGCCAGCCCAGCGCCTTTGGCGATGGGAGGCTTCAGTTCGTGGCGCGTCCAGTTGGCTGACCTTTTGGCTTCACGCGTTTCATCGTTCAGAGCCTGTTTCTTTTGTGGGAAGTGCGGAATGGGTGTGTGATTGTTCTACCATGAGCCATATGATGGGTTGTTGTTGCTTTGGCTCATAAGCGGTGCCGAACCCAGCTGAAGATCCGGTAGTGGCCGTCTCCTAGCACACAGCTGACAGTGGGCTCTCCTTTGCCAAGTAGAGCCGAGGAATTTGGCAGTTCACTGAATGTGTGAACCAGCTCATCATGACCATTGAATGCAATGCATGTCAACTACCCAACGTTGCAGGCAACGTGTTGGTGTGAAGTGTGCTGTTCAGAAGGGCTGCATGCGTTCCAAGTATTTTTGGTTGTCAGATCGAAGCGTTTTCAAGATTGGTCATGTAGAGACCCTGGCAAGAGTGAGTTGTCAGCCACCTTGTCCGCCTTTGCCCGGCGCCGCTTGGGCTGAGGCAATGCAGATGCCTTTCCAAGACTTCCCGGACTTCGACGAGATCCGCTTCAAGGAGGCGAGGAAAGCCTGTGGGCTCCGGCCTAGTGCTTCGGAGGCTTCATAGCTGGGGACACCTTGGACGTCAATCAGCATCTTGATGGTTGCTGAGGTGCTGATTGATGTTGATGTTGATGGTCTCAGACACCATCAGCTTTGTCGATGATTGATGTTGATTGTTTCTGAGGTGCTGCGGTCGTTGCGGCTGACGCCGCACCCGGCAGCCTCCCAGCTGCTGTTGCTGGGCAGCCACGAGGACTGAAGCGAAACATCCGAGGGCATTCCTGGAACTTGGGTGCCTGAGAATCAAAGGATTGACAACTCACCAATGGGCATGGGCATGTCTCTTTCGTCAACAATGCCAAGATCATCCACTAGCTGGGTCTTTAACAATCCTGTATTTGCTCGCCATCCAACATTGCCCCAGGGTGAAAGTATGTGGCGGAACTCTTTTAGATTTTGTTCCTCTCCGGGCGCGATCAAAAGGACTGTCTTGTATGTGGTGATTTTTATGTGCGAATGCACGCATGAGTCCTGCTGTTCGCACATCACGTCTCAGGGGAATGGGGGGTTGGGCAAGTCCGGTGAGGATGAGGACCTGGTGCGAATGGCACAACTGAATCTGGAGGCTTGGCCAGGGTGCTTGCTCATTTTGCCAAGCGTGGCCGTGGGAACGCCCGCAGTCTTTGCCTCAACTCAGCCAGGGGTGTGATTTGTGAGTTCATGGGGTTTGCGCGTACTCGGCCATGTGATGCAAATGTTTTTGGTCGCCCTGGGCATGTTTTGTACAAGTAGTGAAAGGAAAGAGTAAGGAGCAACGAATTTGCATTTTTTTGGAGTGAAAGGCGCTCGCACCCTGAATCACACATAGAAAACCATGAGAATGCAGCAAGCGAACTATCCGCTTGATGACAGGCCCACTTGATTCTGACACGGCAGATAAAAGCAAAGTAGCGCACGACGTGGTAAAATGTGGCAACCCTCAGCGTAGGCATCGCGCCCCCACACCCGAGTGCCCGATCCCTACGCAAGCCCAGGCCCTGGTGCGCTCGCTGCCGCGGGCTCGGCAGAGCCAGTCGCTGCTGTGGGCGCCGGTGGAGCTAGAGGTGGGACAGAGGGTCGGAGGTGTGTCGACATGGGGCTGGCCCAGCGCCAAAGCGCCGCGTTTCCAAATTGAGAAGGGCAACCGGTTCAAAGCCTGGGGCCTCTGGGCTCTGGGTGACCGTTTGCGATAGGAAATCAGCTTCTCATGGGAGAGAACTTCTGGAGGCCTTCTTTGTGCCAGCGTATGTCATGTGCTGTGTCAAAAGTGTATGTCACGGCGTTCCCCCAAAACTTGAACAACAAAAGACTCCCCTCCCCAGCCGCTGACGCAGCCCATGGTAGCACCCCACGGCTTCGCGCCAGGGCGTGAACGCTGTGAGCCGGCGCCTGCCGTGCCCCACAGCCTTCCACGCGTTGCCAGCCACAACGGTGGCAGAGCGGATCAGGGGGCACCCCACCATGATCCTCACCACGGCCACTCAGACGCCCTGAGGGCTCTAATTCGGCTTCCCCCCCTTTCTGCAGGGAGAACGGCACTGATCATTTCCATACTGCCGCCGAAGCGTGTAACATGGGGCCTGGATGACTGTCGATGCTGTTCTACCCAACGCGGATTCACTCGCATTCGCCTGGGGCTGTAGACCTTACTGCGCCAAGGTGCCCTACGGCAACAAGGCTGAATCCCGCAAGGACGGGGTGTGGGGGCACCATTGAGGGGCGTAGCAGTGGTTGACAAAACCTGGTGTGGAGCAGGACCAGCGCCTCTACAAACGCTTTGGCCAGCTGCTGCAGGCCATGCAGCAAGAGGGCAACCTGCGGGGCGTCTACTGCCTGTCAGCACGGGAGGTGCCTTGGGCTGGGGCCATCAAAGGCACCTCAGTGAGCCGGGCAAGCGTTCACAAATCTTGATAGCGGCATTCGAGCAAGCACGCCAGCAAGCTCCCCTCAGCCCTTAGAATGCACTTTGCAAGCACATTCTGGTCAGAAGTTAACGAGATCAAGCGGAAAATCTGGAACAATCAGGTTCTGATTGTTCGGGGCCACCGCCATGACCAGAATGGACGGCTCATCCGCTGGCAGGACTTCAAGCGCCTCAGCGGCCTGGACTGGCGCACCGAGCTGCGCCTCTCCTGCTCCGGGGCTCCTTGGCGCAAGCGAGCGCGGGTCGGAGCGTTAGGGGTCAGGGGTCGGTGGCCTGCGGGTTTCCAGAGTCTCCTGAAAGCTTCATACGTACACCGGGTGGTGGGGGGTGGTTGGGGGGGCGGCTGAATCAGCTTGTGGGGGTCAGCTTGGCGGAGAATCTGAGCAGAAGGCCTCCGTCCTGCTGTGAAATCTGAGGTGTGGTCAGAGCTTCTGCGCTGGACGGGAGATGCTTCCGGCGCAATGCTGTACATGCCTGAGGTCAGATCTAGAAGGAAGCCGAAGAAGCCTCGAACACCGCCTGAGGCAGGCAGCGATGGCTTTCGTTGGGGATGCCTGCCACGCAAGCAAACTGCAATATCTTGCAGGGAGAATCGACAAAGGCCGGTCGCTGGTCGCTGCCTCCGTCCTCCGTGTGAGGACGCCGCGGAAGAAGCTGTGCCAACGGAAGCGCAGAGTTCCGCCACGCCGGCAGATGCAACGCATGCTGCAGAAGCATCTGAAGCTCAGAAGGCTGCACCGCAGCCTGCGATGGGCAGGAAGTCGCGCAGGCCGGCTGCATCATGTTGTTTCCCTATGGGCCGCCAACCCCTCATTTCCTGACCCCTTTCACGTTTCCACCTCATTAAAAAAAAAAAAAAAACCAACACGAGGAGATTTGGCTAAACAGCGAGACAACCCGACAAACCTCCGCAGCTCAGCGCAAGATCGCTTCCACCTTTCCTTGACAGCCAGGCAACCCGTGCGGAGCGAGAGACAACGCCCAAGCAGCTTGGCAGTAGGTGGGCCGAAGGCTTCGAAACCCTAGTTCATCATGTCACATCGTGCTATGGGATAGGACGCCTTACCCGTTCTGCTTCAAAGGGTGGTCCATCCTACGGCGCAATCTCGGGTTTGGGGAAGGTAAGCCTTTTTTTGGTCTTTTGGTCCTTGAGACAGATGAGTCTCTATGGTAGCACGTTCTTGGCTTTCGCTGCCAGGTGGTGGGGAGTCTGGCGGATCGCCCATGGAGCCGACCAGTGCACAAGTGCCGGAAAACGCGCGGTTCCACGTCTCCTCGTCTCTAAATTAAGATACTGGTGTCTTGTTTCCTGGTGTCACGTTGAGACGGCAAAATGATTTCTGGATTTTTGTCATGCTCTCCCCAACTAGCTGGCGGAACCGTGAGCAGAGTGTTTTTGTGCCAATAAACCATGTGCAATTGTTTGTCGCCAGGAGATGCTACGGGCAGAGAGCATGCCCCTCTTGAATGGCAAGTATGAGCTGCTTTTCTGCACTGGTGTTCTGGCTTGGGCTGCCTCCCGGCTGTAGCTGGAGGGAAAATCTCAAATTCGCCCGGGCTGGACACGAGCTGCGAAAGTCCTGACCCTACTCCGGGCTGCCCGAGGCATGACAACCCGTTCCTGGGCACAGGCGCAAGGGTGTGGGTGGCCATGATGCCGAGCGATTCATGATGTAAAGGACGCACTCTCAACTGCACTTCTCTTGAGCTTTCAAAATCGGCAAGCAGAGCTAAAGGGGTGCCACGCTTCATCGTGAAGGAGTAGCAGACTTCCCAATACCACGCAAGTAGACTCCTCACCTAGAACTGTTAATCAACATTTGTTTCGTCAGGGTTGGTCTGCCACCTTGCAATCTCTTCCCGGGCTATATGTTTTGCAAGGCATCATGCCCGGCGATCATGCATGACATGGGCATGCCCATGCCGGCACCCAAAGGACTGCCAGAGTTGTTTGGCCGCGGGCCTCGTTACGAGGAAGGCGGCCAACGGATTTTGTTCCAGCCACACGATGTCATTTGTTGACGGTTAAAATGCCGTCGAGACAAGGGGCAGTTTCCCCGTACACATGCTTGCCGCGGCCAGGCAGTGCCTACCGCCGGGCCCCAGGGGGCGGCTTCGTGTGCAACATCTCGGTTACCGACAAGCCCTGATCGCGGCCGGCTGGGAGTGGGGAGTGATTGGCGGAATTCCCCAGGAATTCCGCAAGACTTTCTCCAGTTGGGCTGGAAACTAACGTTTGAGACAACTTCAAGTTGGTGCCGTGGAATCCGTGGAGCAGGTTTGTTGGATAGTCTTCAAGCGCCATGCGAGTGAATCCATGATCCTTTGGGCCTTGAGTGGGCAGTTCCTCCTCCGTGAGACGGTTCGCTGCCGCTTTCGTGTCACCCCGCTTGGCGCCCGGAGGCTAAGCCTCGGGAGGTTGTTGCAGCGGGCCAGAAGCAAAGCAAAAATGTTTGACGTGACGGGGGGCGGCGGGCTCGCTCCCATTGACGCAATGGTGTTGCAATCTGAGCCTTTCAGGGGATCTTGCAAGATTGCTCCAGGGTACGTTGTGGAAAGTAGTGGGCGCACTTCTTCTTCTTCTTCTTCTTCTTCTTGTGGCGGGGGCGGGGCTAAAGGCTAGACAAAAGGAGCACGACTCCACTGCTGCACCGCAGCGCCCTTCACTTCCGCCGTGCCGCTGGAGCCGTTTCACTCGGCGGCCGCTGCCGTTTGAGCGGTCGCTGCCAGCGCGCGAGGTGGAGGTGCCTTTCAGTTACCATCAGGTCTGAGGAAATCACGGTTCGGCTTCTTTCAGGTCTGAGGGGGGAGGCCTCTTGAGACACTATATTTGCAAGGTTAGTTGCAGCGTGGAATGTTGTCGTTGCTTTCGGTCTCGGTCTAGGTCTGGTGGTTCAGCTTGCTGAGCGAACATATTTGGCATCTTGGTTGCTTGCGTTGTGTCTGTGGTTCTGGTGGAACATCGCGTGCTGGCTATCCTTCGTAATAATTTTCCTTGGTGGTGAGTTACCTGCCGGGGGTGATGCTGCCAGGAGATGACTGGTCTCAGCGCCGACGATATCGAACAGGTCAAGAAGGCAGAGGGAAGCTTTGGAACCTGCGCATGGCCGAGTCTCCAGAAGTTCGCTTTTTGCCGCCAACATGTTCATGTCCTGCGGGCAAAACAAAGGAAGGCCACCTGCTGCACCCACGTATCATCCCCGACCTTGGCAATCCCACGCCCCTAAGCTCCGCCAGGAGTTTGCAGCCCTCGGCCAAGGCGGTGTGACGAGTGACTGTCGCATTGACTTGGCCTGAGTGGTGGTTGGGCCGTGGCGTGGGGCTCCAGCGTTTGTTTTGTGTGCCTGGGTCTTTCTTGGCCTTGCGCGCCGGCCTCAGTACAAATGGCCACCAAGCTCAGCGAGCGCTTGAGAAGTTGTTTGTGTGAATTTGCAGTAAACAGCGCATGTCAGATGTGCGCCATTGCGGCGGCCGGTCTGGCCCCAATTCCGCAGCGCCACCACGGACCGCACCGGGACCACTGCCAGGCTTGCCAGCCGGCCAATCCGTTGGAAAAGGCAACAGGCTGCTGAAAACTTGGGCGAGAACACTTTGTCGGCCCTCAGGCAGCTGGTGAATGAGCGGCCTACTACTGCAGCCAGCACTGATTCCTGGAACTCGCGTCGTGGACCCGAACGTGGTGTGCGCTGGAGAGGAGGCACCCCGCCTTCTCCTCCAACCTGGAAGTATACGTCTACCGACCTTCGTGCCTTCTCAAGGTGGGAACGCAGTCCAGAACCACATGACGAAGGCGGAGGCGGCGTTGGCGCTGTTCACATCGCTCGCCGGAGAGGCGGAGCAGGAGACCGAGCACTTAGATCTGAGCTTGGTCAACGACAAGAACGGCATCGAGTACGTGCTGGGTGCTTTGCGCGGCCCACTGCAACAACACTGGAGATCTACCAGAAGAGGAAGCTCTTGGCGGACTTCGAGAACGCCGCGGCCAGTCAGAGTCGGTTCGGCAGTACATCAAAAGGAGCCGCAGGATAGAACGAGAGCTGGAGAGCGTGGGAGTTCGCCCAGCCCAGATGTACGATGACGAGGCCAACGGAAACAGGCTGGTAGAACATTGCCGCCTGCCACCCGACTTGGCCCGGCTGACTTTGGTGACCTCAGGAAATAGCCTGAGGACATCGCAGGCATCCTTATCCAAAACTTGGATAGGCACCGGCCGGCCAGGCATCCTTATCCAAAATTTGGATAGGCACGGGCCGGCCAGGCATCCTTATCCAAAATTTGGATAGGCACGGGCCGGCCAGGCATCCTTTTCCAAGAATTGGATAGGCACGGGCCGGCCAGGCATCCTTTTCGAAAATTTGGATAGGCACGGGCCGGCCAGACATCCTTATCCAAAATTTGGATAGGCATGGGCCGGCCAGGCATCCTTATCCAAAATTTGGATAGGCACGGGCCGGCCATCCTTATCCACAATTTGGATAGGCACGGGCCGGCCAGGCATCCTTATCCAAAAATTGGATAGGCACGGGCCGGCCAGGCATCCTTATCCGAAAAATTTGGATAGGCACGGGCCGGCCATCCTTATCCAAAATTTGGATAGGCACGGGCCGGCCAGGCATCCTTATCCAAAATTTGGATAGGCACGGCCGGCCAGGCATCCTTATCCAAGATTTGGATAGGCACGGGCCTGCCAGGCATCCTTATCCAAAATTTGGGCCGGCCAGGCATCCTTATCCAAAATTTTGATAGGCACGGGCCGGCCAGGCATCCTTATCCACAATTTGGATAGGCACGCGCCGGCCAGGCATCCTTATCCAACATTTGGATAGGCACTTGCCGGCCAGGCATCCTTATCCAAAATTTGGATAGGCACGGGCCGGCCAAGCATCCTTATCCAATATTTGGATAGGCACGGGCAGGCATCCTTATCCAAAATTTGGATAGGCACGGGCCGGCCAGGCATCCTTATCCAAAATTTGGATAGGCACGGGCCTGCCAGGCATCCTTATCCAAAATTAGGATAGGCACGGGCCGGCCAGGCATCCTTATCCAAAATTAGGATAGGCACGGGCCGGCCAGGCATCCTTATCCAAAAATTGGATAGGCACGGGCCGGCCAGGCATCCTTATCCAAAATTTGGATAGGCACGGGGCCAGGCATCCTTATTCAAAATTTGGATGGGCACGGGCCGGCCAGGCATCCTTATCCAAAATTTGGATAGGCACGGGCCGGCCAGGCATCCTGATCCAAAATTTGGATAGGCACGGGCCGGCCAGGCATCCTTATCCAAAATTTGGATAGGCACGGGCCTGCCAGGCATCCGTATCCAAAAAGAATGCGCTCAGCATGCAGTTCCCCGACTTCAAGCCGATTCCCCCGGTCTTCTACGGCACGAGCTTTGGTGGGAACCGTTCCAGCAAGGGTGGTGAGAACGGCAAAGGTTCGCATCAGGGCAGCCATTACGGACAGTACCACTCCAAGAACCGGTTCGGTGGCAAGAACGACTCCAAGAGCAAGAAGCAGGTCTTCCAGGCGGAGATCACTGGCGCCCAAGAGCCTTCGGACGACTTGGAGGCGATCCCAGAGGACGCTGACCCTGAAGCCGAAGATGACGGAGATCAGGAGCAGGAAGAAGAGATCGAGGGAGATCAGTATGATCAGGAGGAGGGAGATGACGAGCTGAGCCACCTCATGGATGTGCTGACGGTGACCAGCAACAAGCTCAAAAGCCAGGTATTGGGACGGAAGTTCCATCTGCGTGCGGGGCCATGGGCCCAGTCTCTGGACAGAAGAAGCCAGGAGACTCGGGCAAAGGTGGGAAATCCACCAATGGCAGCAAAGGCAACGGCGGAAAAGATGCGGCTCCGCCCAAACGTACCTTCATGGTCCGGTTCCCCGACGGCACACAATCCGAGCACTGCGCCCCCTCGGCATCTGCAGCGTCACACCAGGGGCCCTTCTTCAGCTATGTTGCCTCCTTCACAGACGTGACGACCCACCTTGTTGACAAGAGTGCGTTCGACATCAACGTGGCAGAAACCCCTAAGTTTGCGGGCTACATGATTTTGGACACAGCGTGCCAGCGTTCATGCTGTGGAGAGTCGTGGTTCCATGCCCACTGTGAGCTTCTCAAGGGGTACCGCATGAAGATCAAGCATCACCCCGCCACAGACACCTTTCAGTTCGGCGCAGTTGTCCAAGTTCAAGGCCTACATCCCCGTCCGCTTCACAGGCCAGGACGCGCCGGGTCTGCTGATGGTCGGTGGAGCGTTTTGGAAGCAGATGTTCCTCTACTGGCCAGCAACTCCTTGATGGAATCCCTGGGTTGCATCATTGACCTTGTCAAGCAGCAGGTGTTTGTGTCCGCCCTCGGCATTTACTTACCCCTCCTCAAGGTCAATGGCCATTTGGTTGTGAGCATAGCGGAACATCAGAAGCAGGACCACCAGTCTTCTGTTTGGGCCCAACTGTCAAGTGACGTGAACTGGGAGGATCCGCCACCTGAGCTGATTGCATCCCCCGAAGTCATGCTGGATCAGAAGGTTGAGACCGCAGCCTGCCTTGTGAATTGCCCAGCACCGCACGGACCGACCACTTCCTCCGGAGTGGCTTCAAGCAACGGTCCTCATCAGGGTCATGCTGATCGAGTTCCGCACCTACAAGGCCATGAGCCGGCTGGCGAAGCTCGGCCATGCGACAAGGGAGTGGCTAACGCTTCGCGAGACGATGGAGACGCGCGAGGAGCATGCCAAGGAAATGGGACTACCTCGCAGGCCAGCGCCCCAAGCCACATGCACTCACCCTTCGTTCAGGAGGTACGGCAACCGCCACGGAAGGTTCAGCCAGTGCCAGAGGTGTCAACTCAAGCTGCGCTGGGACGAAGCACACGCCGGATGGGTACCGTTGGGAAGCTCGTCCGGGTCTGCTGTTGTCTTGCCGCTGCCCTCGGCGGACAACATCTTGAGGCCTTCAACGACGCCACTGTCAGGGGCAACCTCCAAGGCAAAGGCTAGGGGCAAGGCGCTCACGGCCAGTACGGCAGCTCCGGCCTCTACACGGGAGTCATGGACCAGCCGTTCGCCTTCACCGCTTCCGATTCAGAATCAGACAACTCGGAGGACGAGGGTCTGAGCGACTTCGAGCTGGCATCCATGGAGGAAACGGACCAGGACATCTTGGAGGGCATGAACTACCACTGGGGATGAAGAAGGGAAGCTGCGGACAGAGGTGAGACAAGCTGGACATCAGCTACAAGCAGAATTTGATGTGATGAGCCAATCGTTACGAGCAAGGACTACCCCACCGAGCCAGGTAGACTTGCTGGAAACCTTCGCACGGGCTTCGGACCAAGAGGCCGTCACCAGAGCAATCAGTCGGCACCGCCCCTTGTTCCTGGCACAAGGCATTGACTGCCAGGATTGGTGCCTCCTCCAGGACAACACGAACTACGTGCGCCGCAAGGTCGAACTTCAGAAGAGGCGGAGGAAAGCGCGCAAGCTGGTCAAGCTCGCGACAAATGGGCAAAATGCCAGATCGACGGCAACAACGGCAACAGGTTCTTCTTGATTGAGAACCCGGTGACCAGTCGACTTACAGTGCCACCAACAGCAAAGGCGAGATGATCCGCAAGGGATTTCGCTTCATGAGCAACTGCCCGGAGCTGCTGAACAGACTTCAACGGAAACTTGATCCGGAGCAACTTCAGCAGTGCGTACCCCTCCAGGGTAAGGAGACAACGCTTAGCCAGCACTACCCGCACAAGATGGTCATGTAAATCCTCGCGGGCATGAAGGAAGCAGCGCTTGATGCTCCTCAGGGTGGCGTTGTGCCGTTCGACCAGGCCCAATTGGGAATGAGCCTCAGGCGGGATGTAGTCCAGGAGTCCACGAAGGTGCCGCCAAGTTGAAGATCTGCTTCAAAGGCTCCCTGGAAGGTGCCACCAGGGTCCGTCTTGAGAACCAGCGGGTAGCCGTACGGGGATACCCAAGACGAATGAAACTTCTTGGAGGCTTCCTCCGGTGTGCGGTTCTCCAGCCGCGCCACGATGTGCAAGTGGGTCGTCTTGCAGATGATCCCGAGGACCGGGTGGTTCTTCCCAGAGACGTCCCTGATGTAGACGATGTCGCACTGAACGCGGTCGCCGAACTGCAAGTAGCCTTCTGTAGGAACTCCTGCAGGTGCTGGATTGGGAGGTAGATTGTTGCGATTGCAGGTGTGGCACTTCATGTGGTCGATGGCGTTGTAGATGTTGGGATCGCTGACGCCGTTCATGGTCAGCAGCCTCTTGAGCTCGGATGCTCGAGGGTTGCCCATGTTCTGGTGGAGTCTGGCGATCACGGACCGAAGGTGTGGAGTGATCTTGCTGGAGGCCTCGGGAAAGTGGATGCCTTCCTGTCTCAGGATTTCCTCGGATTGAGGATCAGCCGTCTGTGGTTGTCGTAGATCGGGTTGATCTGCCATATCAAAGCCGTAGACGAACACGGCGACCTCCACCGCCTTGCTGAAGCGCTGCAGTGGTCTGATCACATCGCCGATGTCCTCGAAGATGAAGGCAATCTCCTTGTCGGAGTGTCGCAGCACAGCGCCACGGTGTGTGTAGGCGAAGTTGTTGGGCATCCGGAAGATGGCTGGTGTTGCTGCGAGCTGCACCTTCTCAATCTTCCATGGAACATTCTTCTTGATCGTCTCCATGAGCTTGTCATTGGGAGGCACGGTGTAGGTCTTGGCCGTGGACGTGCTGAACATCTTGGCTGCTTCGCCCAGGACGTAGGTCCAGTCCTGGGGGTTCTCGTTTACCTCGGACATGACGTAGACCTGTGCTTGCCGCTGAAGGCGTTCAGGTTGAAGTCGTTGGAGAAGCTTGTCGACGAGAGAGGCATCAGCGACACCGACTCTTTCGACAAGGCATTGTGCGGCTCCTCCTTTGCAAAGAACGCTGGAACCTGGTCAAGCGGGAGACCACCCTTTGTTGCAGCACTGGGCAGGATTCCACGCGTCGGTATGAACCTCATGAGCGACGAGAGATCTCTTAGCATGGGATCAACGCGGCAAGAAGCTCAACGAACTGCAGAGCTACTTCGCGCAGAAGCTCAACGGCATCTTGCGACCATGCAAGTTGACGCAGGACGGAGAAGAGCACTCCTTCGGAAGACCAAGCCCGAGACGGGGATCAACACGCCTGTGGGCGGCATCGTCGCTTACTGGAGATGGACTGCAAGGAGCGGCAAGAAGTGCGGCAGCTACAAGCTGGCACGACTCCTCGGGAGAGATCCAAACGGCAAGGACTACTGGGTCCAGTCTGGAACCAGCACGGTCCGGGTCGCCCCACATCAACTTCGAGAAGCCCACGGGATCGAGAATTGGGTCCCCAGCAAGGAGGACGTGGCCGCCCTGAGGGATGCTTCACACAACTTGCAGCAGAACATCCTGGAGGACGGAACCCTTCCTGAACCTCCAGATGACGACTACGTGCACGAACCCGTGCCCGACGAGATCCTTGAACCAGAAGCACAGCTTCCTTTGGTTGTACTTCAGGCACCACCAGCACCTCAGTCACTCCAAGAAGAAGCTGTGCAGACGGATACACTCCTACCCGAGATCAGGCAGGAGACCAACGTCCGCATTGACGTGAGTTCACCTACCTACATCAGGAACCAGACCTTCGGCTATCCAGGTCCTCCACGGCAACCTGTCTACACGCCTACAAGACGAAGGTCAAGAACACCTACAGCCAAGCGGAGAACTACGGCGCGTGAACTACTACCACCTACGTCAAGCGAACCTCAAGCACTACCAGACCAGCAACCACTTCAACCACAACTCGAACCTCAAGCACTACCAGCATCGAGCAGTGACACGCCTCGACTACATCCACCTCAAGATGCCAATGCCACGCCTAGCCCCGAGGAGAGCGCGGACATTGGTAACCCACTACCAGCACCAGTGGATGACCAGCCTGGCACTCCAGCGAAGAGAACCTCAGATGACGCCGGTTTACCTTCACGAGAACCGAGCGCGGACATCTTGTACACCCATATGTTGCAGGATGACGGCGTGATCCAAGCCCCACCTCCCAACCATCCCAACAGTGCCTTCCTCGCCTACCAGCAGGAGAAGACCTATGTTGGCACTGGAGAGAGTGAGGATGAAGAACCTGGTTGTGAAGACCTTCGAGATGGGACACCAGGCTACATCAACGAGACCTTCCTCACCAGACAAGAGCAGAAGGCCTTGGACCGTGAGATTCCCTGGCGAGACATCGTCGACAAGGGCGGCAAGTACTTGGAGGCCTTCGTCAAGGCGGCCCAAGAAGAGGAGAAGAGCTGGATGAGCTGGAATAGCGTGCGAGAAGTGGAACCAGAGCTCGCCCGCAAGATCATGGGAGATGATAGGATTCTAGGATGTCCAAGCGGATCATCAAGAGCCGGGCAGCATACCGGGACAAGAATAAGTCCCATGGCGAACTGAAAGCCAAATGCCGAGTTGTCGCCATCGGATGTTGTGACCCCGATTTGCGGCAATTGGGTCGCGACTGCGCGACCCCAACAAGACAGTCCGAGTTCCTGGTCCTGAGCATCTACGCATCTGGAGCCAACCAGAAGTTCATGGGCCAGAAGGAGAGATGGATCCTGTGGTCAGGAGACGTTAAGACAGCATTCTTGCAGGGAGTTCAAGAAGGGCGTCGCCAACCTCTACTACTCCTACCACCACAGGACGGCATCACCGCCAGAGCGTCCACATTCCGCGGACTCCTGTACGAGATTAAGGGCACGTCTATGGACTTGCAAATGCTCCAAGGACCTGGGCACGAGAAGTGACGCGCAGGCTCCTCAACAGCGGCTTCACCCGACACAGCCTCGACCACATCGTCTTCTACAAGTTCGGCACGCTCAAGGGACAGAAGCTACGGAAGTTGCTTTGCATCGTCCTGGCGTATGTTGATGACTTTCTCCTCACCGCCAACGAGCTCTACGACCGTGAAGAGGTTTTGGGCCTGTTTTCCTGGGGCTCTCAGACTCAAACTCAACGGGAGCTTCACCTTCAAGGGCAAGGAGATAACCACCATCGAGACCAAGGACGGCGACTGCGTCAAGCTCACCCAACGCAAGTTCATTGAGACCATCACCTACGGCAAGATCAGCAAGCAAAGACTGCAAGGCCCGCCAGAACTCACCCGCGAGGAGATCGCAGAGCACAGGTCAGTTTCAGGATGCCTGCAGTGGTTGTCAGGACAGACACGTCCAGACATTGCATCCGTGGTTTCTTTGACCAGCCGCGGGAAGAAGTCCACCATCCAGGGCCTTCAGACGCTCTACGACACGGCCGACTTCCTACACCGGAGCAAGGACGACGGCGTCGTCATTGTGGGGCTCAAATTGGATGAGACGTCCATCATCGTCTCTTTCGCTGGTTCATCATGGGCCAATGCAGAAGGCCACGCATCACAGCACGGAGCACTGACGCTGGTTTGCGAGCCTTCGATCACCGAGCACATCGGCCTTGGAACTATGTTGGACTGGAAGTCCTCGCGCTCCACCCGGGTCTGCAGAAGTACGCTTGCCGCGGAAGCTAGTGCTGCAGACAGGAGCTCGTACATGAATCTGGCCTTGTGCGAGCTGATGCAGGACACCCCTTCCTTTCGTGTGTCCACCCCACTGCGCATGATCCAGATCACAGATTGCAAGAGCTTGTGCGACTGCATCGCTGCGGAGAACCCCACCACAGAAGACAAGCGGACCATTGTGACTATCCGCAGCACGCAGCAGTACATTAACCGCGACAACATACTGGGTGCCAACGAAGCTGCAATGGGCTGACAGCCTGACCAAGATCAGCCGCGTTTTGATGGAGCAGTTCAGTGAATGGCTTCAGCGGCCGTGGATTCAGCTACATGAGTGACCTCGCCTACGGCAGCTTCTCATTCAGTTGCACACGTGAGAGGCACATCTTCCAACTCACTTTTGGGAGTGTGAATTTGCAGTAAACAGCGCATGTCAGCTGTGCGCCATTCGCATCATGTGGCCTTTTCGCGTCAACGGGCGCCCAGAGCCATAGACTTTCATTTGCAGAGGAAAACCAAGGTGCAGCGCGCCATGGATGGAGACACTTCGCATCAAGCGGCACATGCCGAAGTAAGAGTTTGGGACCCAATGGGGCAGATGTTGGCCCATATGGGTCCCTGATTGTCGTCCCCCATCTTCCCCTCCAGAAAAGGCTTTGGGTGGGACTTCTCCCCACCAATATCTAGGGGGGTGCAACACGCTGGCAACACGTGCTGTGCAGGCAACGAATCGGTGCGTTTGTCTGCAGTCACTCATGTGCCAGGGCTGCACTTATCGGGTGTGGGCGTGGGAGTAGGTGTGGGTGTAAGAAGGTTTTGCACAATTCTCCTCGTGGATTAATCTTTGATGCCAGTTTCAAGCCGTGATGTTTTAGGGGGGCTGGCGAATCAGCTCGCGTCAGCGCATCATCACAGGGCCTACAACTCACTGTCATTAGTACCTGGATCCCCTGTAGAAGCAGTGGAATGTTTGGGTGGGTCCCAGGCTCGGAACTGTTTCACACCCAGCCCTCGTTTTGCCACAAGACCGTGGACAATCGCTCGCTCATTTACCGACAGCCCAGTGTTGGGCTGTGCCAAGGCAACTTCATGGTGGAAAGGGCTGCTTGACATGGACACGTCCCGCCTTTCAGGGCTTGCCAAAACCAAGGGCGTGGAGTTGCAGGGTTCCTGGTTCAGGCAGCAGGCCCAAGCATCAACAAAAAGACAACGTGATGCGGGCAATCAACAAAAATGAATAAGACAGTGTCCTCAGAGAGATCCGGTCTGAATAGTCGCTTCTTTTCGATCCCCATTGGAGCTTTACGCATTCCGATGCTGCTAGTGCCCTAAACGCTTGTTCGGATGGCAAGAAGGGTATTCGGGCTTTGCTTTCTTGCTGCAGGGTGGACGTGGTTTATAACTCCCATGACCGGTTAATTAAAGGGAAGCCTTGCAAGGCTGTTGGCATAGCGATATGTGATATGCCCCTTGTGCGGCCTCGACTGGCTATGCAAAAGCCAATGAAACGATATGTGGCTGTGGGTAAAACATATGTACCCAAAATGGAATCCTGGTAAATGGAAGCATGGACTACAACTTGCGGTCCGATTCCTGTTTGATTTTGACCCACAGCCATGTGGCACTGAGCTACGTCGATTCGGGCGGCAGGTGCTCGGCGAGCTGGACAGCTGGTCCCAGGGGGAGCTGGAGAAATTGCCCGGGGGCCCTGAGGGGAGGTGGGAGGTCTTCCATGGAAGCCGAAATGCGCGCGTTTTGCTACCAGCTGGGGGTGAAACCGACAAGAGCACAACTTGTCAGAAAGCGTTTGTGGGAAAGATGCGCGGCCATCACGAGGCAGCCGCCGGAGAGCTGGCTTGGGTTTCTGCTTCGGTGGTGAACCAGCTGAGTCTGGGTTGGGGTACGCCAATGGAAGACTGCAGTTTAGGAAACTGTCGCTCGAAGCCGCTCAAGATCTTGAAGTGTGGCCTTTGATTTCTAGGAACGACGCCCGGTTAACGCACCTCTGGCACTGCAGGATGCCAGGTCAACCCGGTCAACCCCAAGCACTAAGTCATTGGGCCAGAGGAGCCACAAGCGAGAGGTCCCCTCACGCAATCAGTCAGTGAAGATGCGCTCTTGCTCATCTTTGGGCAGTTCTTGACCAACCTGTTGTGTGCCACTGGTAGACTGGTGAAAGAGAGGTTTCTACAAGTCCTGTCACCAGCCTCACTGACAGCCATGCTCCGGCACGGCCGCCGAGTGTCCATGCTGGTCGGGCCCTCGGGATTGAATGAATTGAATTAATGGTTTCGCTGCAACTTCTGGAAGAAGGTCGGTGCATTCTGTGGAAGATTTTGGACTGGTCCTGCGAAGTAGATAGCACCATTTGAGATTGCACTTTGAAGAAGCCCTGATGACTTGCTGGCCACCCTTGCGAATGTTTTCAAGCCTGAACCAACACCCGCCAGGCCACCCTTAAACACCGGTTAGTGGGAGTTCCTCCCACAATGCCTGATTCAATCCAAGTGGCATCATGCTGAATTGCTTGAACCGATCCTTCTCTGGGGGTACCCCCGCCAGAGATTCGAATCTCGCGGTTCTTTGCTGGTTCCACTCGCCTTGGCTGCGCGCTCGCCTCTCTTTGTCACGCCTCAGTCGCATGTTTGCCAGCTGCCTCGAACAATCTTTCTCCAGCGTTTCAGCTTGGCTTCCCGGCGATCGTCCAAAATTGGAACCGTTGGCTCCACTAGGCACTTTGCGCTGGCTCGCTGCTTGCTGCGAAGGTGCGGTTCACGCCGCGCCTTCGCCGGGCGTTCGCCTCCCCGGGCAAGTTCCTGCGGAGTGTGCAGCCGCCGCTCGACGGCAGCTCCTACAAGGCGCGTTTTGGACGGTGCGACCTGTGACCGGACAAGCACAACAAAACTTGGCCCACCAAACCCTTTGATGGTTGACGATCTTCAAAAAGGAGCCAAGTCTGGTGTTTTGACCAATGACCGTCGTCCAAACCATTGGCAAATGTTTTGGGGGTGCAAGGGCCCTTGAAGGATAGACACTAGACACCCACAAAACGCTGGTTGCAAGGAATTTTCAAGGAATCTCCTACCTTTTCAGATTGATAGCTAGGGGGCTCATCGATCAGGGGTCACTTGAGATGGTCGGTGTTTCATGTTAGGGGCCCAGCAATCACCTTGCCAACTGCAAAGGCCCCCGGCGCATTTTTATGGGCTTTGACTTATCAAGAAGAAACGTATAGAACTTGTAACTCACATGTTTAAAGAGATCCAGATCATTGCAAGCTAACTTGTTACCGGGCATGAACTACTACAAGATAGGAAGGAGGGCAGGCAGGCAGGCAGGCAGGCAGGCAGGCAGGCAGGCAGGCAGGCAGGCAGGCAGGCAGGCGGGAGGGCAGGCAGGCAGGCAGGCAGGCAGGCAGGCAGGCAGGCAGGCAGAGGCAGGGAGGCAGGCAGGCAAGGCAGGCAGGCGGGCAGGCAAGCCAACAAGCAGGCAGGCGGGTGATTCTGCTACATTAAAAAGGCGGAAGCTTGTCGCGTGAGGGCAGGGAGCATTAAGCATGATTAAGCCATGGCCACCTCTTTGATGGCAAGGTGCAACAACGCAAGAGACCTTCGCTCAATGCAGTCATTCTCCCGTAGCCTCGGAGGGCCAGAACGCGCGGCTGGCGATCATGGGTGGGTCCAAGGACTACACGGGGGCGCCCTACTATGCAGGCCCCGATTTGCAAATGGCGCAGCAAAGGAGTGCCCATGCTTTCCCTTCCATCACGGTCATCATTGTCCGTCGTTTTCACCACCATCAGCACCACCACTACCAGCATTACCATCATCACCATCACCATCATCATCATCATCATCATCATCATCATCATCATCATCATCATCATCATCATCATCATCATCATCATCATCATCATCATCATCATCATCATCATCATCATCATCATCATCATCATCATCATCATCATGTTCCTTCTCAGCTGCTACCGCAGATGTTGCTGTGAAGGCGTCAGCATTGTACATGTTCGTCTCCGAATTCCAGTAAACATTATCTGCAAGTAGGAGTGCATAGAAATGGCATTGGTTCCCTGAGCAAGCAGGTTCAATATGATGCTCACCTTGTTGCCTCGCTCCAGGAACGGCGACGCCCATGTTGCGCATATTCTTCGGAAAATGTTGGCTGAATCATAGTCTACAGGCCTCGAATACCCCAGCTCCTGCCACGACAAGGCTGTTCTTGTGGCTGCCGCTGCTTGCGGTGTTTGCCATCGCGAGCAATCGACGGCGCTGTTGCTACCATAACTTTTTTGACCATTGGTGGTCAAATTGTTGCCGTGCTGCATTGTGGTTGTCATGGCTTTTGTCCACCTCCAGGCATGGCAGCACTGCGCACCGGGGCGGAGCTCGTTTACGTTCTCACGGAGGATGTGGCCGCCCTCCCGATCAAGTGCTACAGCCCTGAGCTCATGGTGACTTCTTTGTATCGCGGCTTGGCAGAACGTAATGGCGCCGTTGGCAGATGATGGCATGGCTGTTGGAGTATCCCTTGCGGAGCTCCGATTTTCTTTCAAAGGGGGGGACCTTGATTCTTACAGTTCCTTGGGCCTCAGGCGTATCTCATCTTGGCACGAGCGCTCGTGCCCAACGCACGCCTGTTTTGCCCAATGGCCCTGCGACCCGCATGGATGGCTTGTTGCGCCTTGCTCGTTTGCAGGGTGCCTGGGTATTGCTTGGCCATGGCAAGCTCACATGGACAGGCGAGCTTGAAGACGGGCACATCCAGCTGGCTGGCGGCCCAGACGATATGGGAGCCGAGCAGGTCCAATTGCCCTTCCCCTCAAAGGACACGTTTGGCCGCAATTGATCAATGGAATGCCCCCAATGCCTGCTACACTAACAGTGTCTTCAAATCATGGAGCAGGGCTGCGCCTGTAGCCCTCGTTGGCCAGACTTGGCATGGATTGGTTTCAAGCGATGGCCTAGGATTGGGCGCAGTTCCTTGAGAGGGTGGAGAAGCTTCATGCGCTGGTGCTGGGCTGCGGCATGGGCACTCGCCCGGAGCTTCTCCAAAGGGCCAGCGAGTCACTTGCCGCAAGCGCAGAAACCGCAGAAACCGCTGCCTTGAGGTCACAAACGCGCTCTACTTAGTACTCTACTTGTTTCTGGGTCATGGCTGGGCCCCCCGTACCCCAACTCACAGTTATGATGCTACCTCGGGGGAGGCTGCTCCATTTTTTGGAACGGGGACGATGTGCCCTGTGCCCAAGTCTACGTTTGAACGCCACGGTCACAAACTTGCCTCGTCTGTTCCTCAGCGAGCAATGTCGCCGTGTGCGTGTTGACTAGAATCTTGTTGAAGTTGAGAGCAGGCAGCCGGACCCTAGACGTGCTGGGCCAGCTGGCCCTTTTGAGCTGATGTTCGTGCAAATGGATATCTTCGACTTCAACATGCCCATTCAATCTCATTTGGTTTTCTCACAGCAGCGCGCTGCCTTCTCTAGGATTTCCAACACGTTAGTCGCCTGAGGATTTGCCAGAAGGCAACCGACCTTGGCCTCTCTGCGATGGAGGGGGGTGGAGGGGGAGCATATGGGGAGAATGGGAGGCATTGGGAGCCTGAGGAGTGTGCGCAAGGCATTTGTTGGAACCTGCTGTGAAGACTTCGCAGAGGCATAGACAGCTGCACAGCTCGATATTCACAGATTGTTGAAATGCCGGATAGTGACGGATCACAGCCCAGAATCCAGACGCAATCTTGTTGACGCACCATGGCCATTTCAGCAAGCTCAGCTGAGCTAAGCATCTGCGCTCGGGCAAGGCTTGCCGCTGGTGGTGGATGCCGACGGCATGGAGGTGATTAGACGCTGGCCGCGGCCAAAGGGGCGCTTTCCGAGTCTTTCTCACGGATGTCACTGAGGCCAAACCAATCAAAAAGACACGCAAAGGGCTAGTCATTGTTCCATCCAACCCTCTTGACGACCGTGCGGCTCATGCTGCAGTGCCCACGTAAGGCCGGAAGTGGTCCGGGGCGCGGAGCGCGCAGTTCTTACGCCCAATGTGGCGGAGTTTCGCCGCCTTTGTGAGACGTTGGAGGTTGGTGCGCGCCTCAACTTGTTTTTCAGAACTGTGGGGGGGGGGTTGAGGCCCCGAATTTTGGCCGTTTCTGGGGCTTTGACCAAGTACTCTTGCACCGCGAATCCTCGAACTTGCTAAATGCTGGAGGCAATGCGATGTCAGGTGACCAGCCAGTGGAGAAGCAGGTAGTTGAGCTCTGTGCCTCGGCCAGCACGCTGCTCCCAAACTGCTTAGAGGAGGGGGTCATCCAGGTGGTAGATGCGTTTGTATATAGGACAGCAGTGGCTCCCTTTCGCGCACACACACACACAAACACACACTTGCGCAAGAGGGGTTCTAAGGTTCCAGAGCCCCAAACGTGCATTGGTTGTGCATCTTTCCCAGTGGGAGCAAGACTCTTGGACCACTGCTGCTTTAATTGATCAAAGTTGGAGCAAAGCATCAGCAGCTGAGCCCTCTTCTTGAGTTTGCTGAACCTTGGCTTGAGGTAGGTCAAGCTATATGAAGTCAAGGTTGAGGGAGACCCTGACTAGGCAGTAGGCACTGTCAGCATAAACACCCAAACATGGTATCCAAACTATGAATTGCATTGGGCCAGCTCGTGATCCATCCTGCCCCTTCTTGTGCATGTGTCGTGTTAACATGTTTGTTACGGAATTTGTGGCATCCATCCCGCTGTTGTCCGCAAACTCGGAGAATCGCACTTGGGAAGCGCCGATTGTCCCATGCTTTGGATTGCTTTGGCCTAGGACCCATGCAGGTCTGTATCAAAGCTCTGCCCGGCCCAACAGGTCGGCCCTTTGAGAGGCACCTCAAAACGAAGCCTTTCGGACGGCAAAATCCTTCGGTGCTTTATGAAAACAATCGCTGGAAGCTCCGGTTGGCTCTTTTGGGATTTGGGCAATGTCTGAAAGCTGCCTGTAACGAGTGGGGCGCTTGCGTCCATATGCGTATCAGGATGACCGGCAATCGGTTCGATCACCATTGCTTTCTCCTGCCTAGGTGGGCGTCTACAAGGGCCCTGTGTGCTGCTGAAAGGGGCTGAGGACGTGTCCCTGAAGGGCGGCCGGAACATTTAACCTGTGTCGCCCTCTGATTTGCCCGGAATATGGCGGAGACTGATCCAAAGGCTTATTCTGACTGGGGCGGTAACTAGGAATTCTATAGTGGTCCTTCGCATTTTTGCAAGGGTTTTTGTCGCCATCCTGCGTGCTTCTTGCTTTGCATCCGCTTCAAGGCTTTTGCTACTTGCCACTCCGCGGGTAGTCGGTGCAGACCGTGTTGCATCGGATGCGTGTGGTGGAAGGGCAATGTCCAAGGTGCGGACAGGGAACAATTTAAAAGGGCCGAAGGGTCTCAACATGCTGCTGGGGTCAAATGGCAAAGTGCGAGCAGTGCTGATGATTGGACGACTACCCGCTCGGGCGTTGAATGCAAGAGAGTTCTGTCCTCAAGCTGCTTGCAGTTGTCAAGGCCCGAGGCACCATCACTCCCAAACTAACAGTGCGCTTTTAACAGCAGTTCTAGATTGGGTTGCCATCTACCGGGCAACCTGAGTTTTTTTTTTGGGGGGGGGCAGATGGGCGAAGTGACAACTCGTAACTTTGCCACCTATTTGGCATATCTGTTTTCGAATGACGGCAGGACCTCATTTGCGACCGGGAGGGTCGCCTCGCGCGCTGCACGGTGACGGGGACCCCCCGACGCAGCGGCGGAGCCTCGGGCAGAGGTTGGCATGCTTCCCTTGCTGGATGAGGGCTACGTGGGAAGTCAGAGGCTTTTGTCCTTTTGGCCAGAAGGAAGATTTGCGTGTGGTCTGTCGTCCAATCACCCAAGTGATCGGGTCCAAGCTATGGTTGTGGTTTTGCATGTGTTTGCGCGTTTCGGGTCTTAGCCTTGTGGCATTGAAGATCAACTCGTCAGGCTTGCAATGATGCCATCAAAGGTGTTGGTGTCAGTAGGAGTTACAGGGCGGAATGCACTTGCATTGAAATAGGCGGTGAATGTATTCAAGAGGGCATGATTCCCCCCGACAGGTCAGTCTCATACCGATGCAAACGCTCTGGGAGGCCAGTCTTAGCTCTCTTGGAAGCCCGTGCGTGACGACCTCAGGACACGCACACGTGCAGTATCGCACAACACACCCGCACAAACAACCATAATCAGAAACACAAGCACAAACACAAGCGCAAGCACAAACACACACACACACACACAGACACAGACAAACAACAACACCAACGCCAACACAACACACAACACACAACACACACACACACACGCGCACACACACACAAACACACGCACACATATTTACGCGACCACAGTCACTTTCCTTGAAAGTTCAACAGGCTTGCATTCCAGACCATCTTGTTTCTGTCGTGGGATGTGTGCTTAGACCATCTGAGGATACGGCGATGTCCTGGCCGGCTCCCTGGGCACGATCCTTGCGTGGGCAGGGCGGCGACATGCTGAAGGACTGTTCGAATTGGGCCAGGGCAGTGATCCTCATGATTGTCGCTGGTTGATTTTGCAATTTCTTTGTTTACTGCTCTCTTTTCGGGGGAGAGGGGGTAGTCCCTTTCAGGTCTGACAGTTTCTGTTCCTTTTTTCGCCTGCAACTGCGACCAGAAATGTACCAGGGATAATGTTGAGCCCATATTAAACCCCAGTTTATGAATAGGGGGGTGTTCCCCTTCCAAACTTGATGATTCCCCACTAAACAAAGGGACGGGCTTGATTAATATGGGATCAACATTGGGATACTATGGACACTTGCAGCCTCGAACTTGGGGGCCGGGCGCGCGAGGGCCCTTCCCGGCGGTGGAGGCCGCCCAGGCCGCCTGCGCCGTGGTGCGCCGCGCCTGTCTCCTGGCCTTCGAGCGGAAGCGCCGGGCCATGACGGCGCCGGATGTGCTGGACCGCCCTGGGGTCCGCTTTGTGACTTTGTGGGTTACCCGCGGGCTTCTGCAGTTCAAGGCAAACAAGAGAGAGAGAGAGAGAGAGAGAGAGAGAGAGAGGGGTCACCTCACAAAACAGGGTTTTGCATTTGCTTTTGCAGCTCTTGGTGAATCTTTGGCTATCAGTGGGGAAGCTTCCAGGTCCCGAAAGTGCCTCAGAGATGCCAGTCTTCATGACGTCGGTTCTTTCTTGATATTTTGAAAACGTTTTCCCATAGGTGGGAGGGTGCCCCTTGGAACCTTAGGACGCCCTCCTGGAATAGAAAGGGACCTGTTGAATTAAGCCATGACATGCAAGTGCCGGCACCTGTGAATGAAGCTCTCGAGGGGGCTAGAAGGTGCCGTTGGGGGGCCAGCCTGGAGGTCGAACAGCACTTTGTGGCAGCCTTGGAAGCTCCTTCAAAAAGAAGAAACTTGGGAACCCACAAAGGGCTTCCAGAAGGGACATCCCTGCCATGCCAAAGAAAATTCTTGGATGCGATGGTGCCAGCTTCTGTGTCAACCGCCTCTGATTGTTTCTGGGGTCGGGGTCGAATGTTGACGTCTCTGGCATGACGGCATCACTTTTCTTGCTTTGTGACGTGTCAACAGGCGATCCTTGCGTGCTGAGGAGGAGATCGGGCCAGCTTTCGAGTATTTCAGTGACTCCACCGATGAGTCAGGTTAGTGATGCCTAAGCAGCCACAGGCGCAAGTCGGACTTCGCACTGAACCCAATATTCATTCAAGCAGGGGCTATTGCCACACTTGAACTGAACTCCAAACAGGGCCTGCTCGGTTGCCTGGCTCCAGGTGTTGGCCACGCGTGAGTTTTGACTTACGACTCATTCCGCCACTCTTGCCTTGCCGCAGGTGGGCCATGCCTAGCTGAAGCGGAAAACGTGGAGCGCTGCAGTCCTGCTCGAGGCGCAGCATGGCAAGTTGTCCCGCTTCTGCCACCTTCATGCTCAGCTTAGAGGATCTCCTTCACAGACCTGGGCGCGAGTGTCGGCCAAGTCATGGAGTTGTCCATGGGATCGAAGCGGCAAATGGCAGCACAGCAGGATCGTTCTCCTGAGAGCGGTATGAAAGAAGATCTCCGAACATGCCAGACCCCTCAAGACGAAGCACGTGAAGCTACATTACTTTCACCCTGGCTGGGCTTTGTGTAGGCAGTCGCAGTCCTTTGGTGCTCACTGTCAGTGCTTGCTCTCCATTCATACTTTGGACACAGGAAAGGCGCACTTTCCTCTCTCTCAGCGGGCTGGTAGCCGCCATGGTGGCGGCTGTTTGCAAAAGCTGCGACACTCAACTCGATCAGCAGAGATGGGCGCAGGCCAGGGGGAAACTCGCGCGCTGCTGAGTGAGTGCAAAGCCTGACAAACACCCCATAGGTTGTGAAATGTACTTGTTTCGAGGACCTTCACTTCCATGGTTCCATAGGCCACGGCGTTCGGGATGATTGAGCTCCCAGATGGTAGACCGAGAGGTTGTTTGCGTGGCATTTGTGAGCAGCCTTCGTGGAATAGACGGCTTGGCTTTCATGGCTACGGTATCAGTATTTGCACGCCTTGAGGAACCGCTAGCTCAAATGCTCAATTTGCAGACGTCCCCACACCACCTGTGGCTCTTCGGTCAAGTTGATGGCTTTTGCTCAGTGGGCCTTCCAAAACCACAGATTGTTGGGAAGGGAGTCTCATGTCACTGCGTAGGTCAACGTGCCTGGATGTCAGCATGCTTGTTCTACACCTGTTGCTCGGGGCAAGCATTTCCGCAATGCCTTCACATGCACGTGGTTTGTTTTGTTATGCCGGCGCCAATGGAGCTTGCATGCTGAAAGGAAGCCAAAGGGCAAGGCCTTCAGTTGCGCAGAGTGCGAAGCGTTCTTTTCTTGGCGGAAGGGTATGTGGCCGAGAGCTTCAGGTTAGGGAGCTGGCACTGTCGGAAAGCAGGTTGGCTGTGTTGAGTCAAATATATGTACATATCTCACACCCCAACACACTATTGGGTTTATTATATTATATATATGATTATATACATATTTATAGTTTCTTTCGGGTGTGTCTTTTTGTATTGACCTGGAGCGTGCACGCTCAAGAACCTCAAGTCGACAAGTTCCACAAGCAAGTGTTTCATGAAGCCTAGCTGGATACCAACACGACCGCACCACGACGCAGACGGGAAGGTTTCGTTCTATGGTCAACATATTTGGTGGTGGTGGTACTTAACTCTCTACTTGTCAGAGCTGGCATGCGCGCACATCTTAGAATCGGCCCCAAATGACAGTTCCCCCTCCTAAATCAAAGTGAGATACTTGCCTTGGAGCTGAACAAGGAGCTGCTCTTGCACATGTGCATGCCGGCGAATGCCATTGCCATGGCATGAAATTTGCTTCTCCTGCTTCCGCAGGTTGGCGGGCGGCCCCACGGGCCTCCGGATGCTGCAGTCGCAGTGCAGTGAGGAGGTGAAGCGTTGGGACGTGACAGGACTTGGGAGCACACTTGGCGCACGAGTTGCTCGCCTTTGCCGTTGGTCGGTGGGACGTGGGTTTTGAAGCCAATTGGGGCTCTAGGCCACCAAATTGAAACCCCATTGCGAATTCGTAGCGAGAAGGCAGTCAAGCGGTGCTGGACTCCGTGATTTTGTCCACATGCTGACGGGCTTGTGAATTCGATCTTTTCAATCGCTTTTCCCATTCTGCAACCTGGGGCCCGCAGACACCTGTCACAATATGGCCAGGAATGGTTGGTAGGTGCAAATGCATGCTGAAAGATTTCAGCCAGGTGCAAGGGCAACTGACAGAAATATGGGGGGGCCACGGACAAGAATGATCACACTGATTAGATGGTGGCATGTCCGCGGTGTTTGTCTGGTTAGCCTAGTTTTTGCCTAACAGCCTGGCCCCAGCCTGCTTTGTGGCCCCGCAAGGTTCTGGCGGGCCTGCGAGATCAAGACAGGAGCGGAGATGATTCCGCATCATGCTGTGCCAAGCTGCATCTTGGCGATCACAGGCCGGATGGGCCAAGCCAGGCTGAGCTCTTGCGTCGGGAGGACTAGTGCTTGCTCAAGTGCACGTTTCAAAGAGACACGTTTCGAGAGGTGGCCCAAATGAACGGCAAGAAGGCAAAACGCAAACCGCAGGCCTGCGATGTCTGGACTTCACGGGCCACCCCTTGACGCAGCTGCCGAAGATGAATGGCTCCCTCAAGTGCCTCAGCAGGCGCGAGCTTGCTTCAGTGTTTGGGCACATGGTCGGTTGAAAGGGCGAATGTGCTTGCTGTTGGCTCTGGATGCAAGCCAGTTCAGCAAGTCTCAAGTGGGCAAGTCGCACACCGATGCTCAGAGGTTGGTGGTGGTGTCCCGCAAGCCTGGCAAGAGCTTTCCAGAAGGGAAAATTTGTGAGTCTGACCAACCTGAAGCCAAAAAAAAAAAAAAAACAAAAAAAAAAAAAAAAAAAAAAAAAAAAAAAAAAAAAAAAAAAAAAAAAAAAAAAAAAAAAAAAAAAAAAAAAAAAAAAAAAAAAAAAAAAAAAAAAAAAAAAAAAAAAAAAAAAAAAAAAAAAAAAAAAAAAAAAAAAAAAAAAAAAAAAAAAAAAAAAAAAAAACAAAAAAAAAAAAAAAAAAAAAAAAAAAAAAAAAAAAAAAAAAAAAAAAAAAAAAAAAAAAAAAAAAAAAAAAAAAAAAAAAAAAAAAAAAAAAAAAAAAGTAAAAAAAAAAAAAAAAATAATAAAAAAAAAAAAAAAAAAAAAAAAAAAAAAAAAAAAAAAAAAAAAAAAAAATAAAAAAAAAAAAAAAAAAAAAAAAAAAAAAAAAAAAAAAAAAAAAAAAAAAAAAAAAAAAAAAAAAAAAAAAAAAAAAAAAAAAAAAAAAAAAAAAAAAAAAAAAAAAAAAAAAAAAAAAAAAAAAAAAAAAAAAAAAAAAAAAAAAAAAAAAAAAAACAAAAAAAAAAAAAAAAAAAAAATAACAGCAGCTTGGCCAACAATCAGAGTAGCGCAGGGCGAATTTCAGCCACGGAGGATGAATGTCATCATCGGATGTTCGAGGAGCAGGGCTTGACCCACCACACAACACCATAACACAACAAAAACAAAAACACAACACAAAACAAAACAACACAAACACAACACACACAGAAGAAAAAAAACATTGGAAAAACATTGAGCAAATGGCAGTAAAGAGCAGAGAAGCAACAAACTGCCGGCTATGCATGTTATATTTTTATGTATGTATGTATGTATTGTATGGTTTTATGTATGTATGTATGTATGTATGTATGTATGTATGTATGTATGTATGTATGTATGTATGTTATGTTTAACGTATTATTATGTATGTATGTATGTAATGTATGTATGTAATGTAATGTAATGCTAATGTAATGTAATGTAATGTAATGTAATGCAATGTAAATGCAAATGTAATTGCAATGTAATGCACTGTAAATGTATGCATGTATTTCCGTATGGCAATGTAATGCAATGTAATGTAATGTAATGTAATGTAATGTAATGTAATGTAATGTATTTACGGTTACTTTGTACTTGTAATGTAATGTAATGTGATGTCATGTCATGTTCTTGTGATGTATGTCATTGTGATGTGATGTGAGAGTGATGTGATGTGATGTGATGTGATGTGATGTGATGTGATGTGATGTTATGTGATGTTATGTGATGTTATTGTGATGTTATGTGATGTTATGTGTGTTATGTGTGTATGTGTGTATGTGTGTATGTGTGTAATGTGTGTATGTTGTATTGTGTGTATGTGGGTGTATGTGTGTATGTGTGTATGTGGTATGTGTGTATGTGTGTATGTGTGTGTGTGTATGTATGTATGTAATGTATGTAATTGTAATGTAATGTAATGTAATGTAATGTAAATGTAATGTAATGTATGTATGTTTGTAGTATGTAATGTATGTTATGTATGTATGGAATGTTGTATGTATGTATGTATGTTTGTATGTAATGTATGTATGATGTAATGTAATGTAAATGTAATGTTATGTTATGTTATGTTATGTAATGTAATTGTTTTGTTCTTGTCTGTATTGTAATGTTATGTGGTTATGTATGTTATTATGTGTATCTGTATGTGTATTCTTGTATGTGCATTGTATGTGGCATCTGTATGTGCATCTTTATGTGCATCTCTTGTGCATCTCTATGTGCAATCTCTAATGTGCATCTCTCTGTGCATCTTATTGTGCTTCTTCTTATGTGCATCTGGTAATGTGGCATTGTAGTGCATCTGTATGTGCATCTGTATGGCAATCTGTATGTGCATCTGTATGTGCATCTGTATGTGCATCTGTATGTGCATCTGTATGTGCATCTGTATGTGCATCTGTATGTGCATCTGTATGTGCATCTGTATGTGCATCTGTATGTGCATCTGTATGTGCATCTGTATGTGCATCTGTATGTGCATCTGTATGTGCATCTGTATGTGCATTTGTATGTAATGTGTGTATGTATGTGTATGTATGTGTATGTATGTAATGTGTGTGTATGTATGTGTATGTATGTGTATGTATGTGTAATGTGTGTGCATGTATCTGTATGTATGTGTATGTATGTGTATGTATGTGTATGTATGTGTATGTATGTGTATGTATGTGTATGTATGGTATGTATGGTATGTATTGTATGTACGCTATGTACGTTATGTACGTTATGTACGTTATGTACCTTATGTACGTTGTGTACGTTGTGTACGCTGTGTACTTTATGCACGTTATGTACGTTATGTAGGTTATGTAGGTTATGTGTGTTGTGTTTGTAACGTATGTAATATATGTTATGTATGTTATGTATGTTATGCATGTTATGTATGTAATGCCTGTATTCTCTGTAATGCATGCAATGTATGTAAATGTGTGTAATGTATGTACTGTACTGTCTGTGCTGTTTGTAATGGATGTAATGTATGTAACGTATGTAATGTATGTAACGTATGTAATGTATGTAGTGTATGTAATGTATGTGTGTGTGTACGTGTGTGTATGTGTAAGTGTGTGTATGTGTGTATGTGTGTGTGTGTGTATGTGTGTATGTGTGTATGTGTGTATGTGTGTATGTGTGTATGTGTGTATGTGTGTATGTGTGTATGTGTGTGTGTGTGTGTGGTGTGTTGTGTGTGTGTGTGTGTGTGTGTGTGTGTGTGTGTGTGTGTTGTGTGTGTGTGTGTGTGTGTGTGTGTGTGTGTGTGTGTGTGTGTGTGTGTGTGTGTGTTGTGTGTGTGTGTGTGTGTGTGTGTGTGTGTGTGTGTTGTGTGTGTGTAGTGTGTGTGTTGTGTGTGTGTGTGTGTGTGTGTTGTTGTGTGTGTGATGATGTGTGTGTGTGTGTGTGTGTGTGTGTGTGTATGTGTTGTGTGTGTGTGTGCTGTGTGTGTGGTGTGGGTTGTGTGTTTGTGGTGTGTGTGTGTCGTTGTGTGTTGTGTGTGGTGTGTGTTGTGTGTGTGTGTGTGTGTGTGTGTTGTGTGTGTGTGTGTGTGTGTGTGTTGTGTGTGTGTGTGTGTCTGTGTCTGTGTTGGTCTTGTGTCTTGGTGTTGCTGCCTTGTGTCTGTGCTGTGTCTGTGTCTGTGTTCTGTGTCTGTGTCTTGTCTGTTTGTCTGTGTCTGTGTCTGTGTCTGGGTCTGTGTCTGTGGCTGTGTCTGTGTCTGTGTCTGTGTCTGTGTTCAGTGTCTGTGTCTGTGTTGTGTCTGTGTCTGTGTCTGTGTCTGTGTCTGTGTCTGTGGTCTGTGTCTGTGTCTGTTCTGTGTCTGTGTCTGTGTC